CACCACACAGCTGGTTGCTCTTGGATGCCCTCGGGAAAACATTGACTTTGAATCTGGCAAACCTGATGTCCCATCCCTATCTCTTCTGTCCTCTACCCTATTCTTTGGGGTTGGTTTGTATTTTGCTTCTCAGCTGACAGCTGTACCTTCACATATCCTTCTGTGCTTCCACATCGGGTTGCAGTGCCCATCCTGCTGTAATCACCATCTAGTTTGGAATACTCCAATCTTGTAGGTGTTGGAAAACTATTTGGGAAGCAGAGGAGAGTGCTGTTGTTTAGGCTGTTTGTGGAGACCAAGGACTGCTCTGCCTTCGCCTCAGTGACAATCACAGAAGCACTGAAGGAGAGGGAGAGCCTAACCTTGGCAGGAAGGAAAAGGCTCAGATGCCAGTTGGATGCTCCTTGTCTAACCTAAGGATGCCAGCAGGAAATGTAGTTTGAGGGGAATTGGAGTTGCCCATTCTAGAATTGTTCTGCTCACATCTTTGGGGATGTTAGCGAGATATTTCTTCTTTCTATGCCATAGTGGGTAAAATTAGGGTCCTTCCTTCTCCTTGCCTCTCCAACCCATCTGAGAAGCTCTCCATATTGGAACTGCTCTCTCTAACCCTTACACACCCCTGAACCATCCAGATCTCTCAATAGAGGAAATTACAGTTATTTATAATTAAGTCTTGACAAAAAATGTTGCTAGTGTCAAGGGAATGGCAGGCGACAGCCAGAAAAACATCATGTCTCCAGAAGAGGGACTGCAGGAATATCCCTCTGAATAGGGCTGACGTCGGCTCCTGGAATTTGGACAGCCTGGAAGGCTTTGGGGCTGTTTTTCCGAGATATCATAGGTCAGGAATTGATGCTATTTTTAAGACTGTGTCCCCCGAGCAGCTTTGATGAGTGAAGGAGACTTTCTCTCCCCCCTCCCCCTCCTTATGCTCTATTTCTATGAAATTTTTGCTTCTATTCCTTCCGAGTCATGCCTCAAGTATGTCCTTCAGGTTTGTTTATCCTTCTCACTATCTATTCCTCCTGGCCTGCTCCCGTCTTGGTTGGGTTGAAGGGGTGGCGTCAGCGTGGCGCGTGTCTGGGATGCTCAGGCGAGACATCACAGAGAAGGGATCAAGTTCTCCTAATTTGTCCTTTCCGGTTGGGAGAGTTTTCTCTCCACAAGCTGATGTGGCTGGGGAAAGTGTTCTGGGAATGCTGCTTTGTGGTGGGAGATCTCAGGGCCTGGTGAAGACAAGCTGGTCATCTCATCTCGCCATGTAGTCCAGCCAAGATTTGTCTGAAGTAACTGAATCTTCAGAGCTCCTGGGAAGATGGGTGAGATGCCTCCAGCCTGGGATGGTCTTTTGGGGCTGACTGGTAGGAGAGAGGCAGTCAGAAGACCCTGATTTTCTGACACCTCCCAAGTCAGCAGTGGCTTTTGAAAGCTTCTCCTATTTCAGGTCTAGGGAAATAGCCCTTGGGTCTACCCAGCTCTGTTCCACGTGCCGGCCTGCTTTAGTTTATTTCCAGAATCCTTTTTTTTTCTTTTTTTTTTCTCCTTCTCTTCAATTTGCTGTAGAGACCTCTCTCTTTCTAGACAAGCCTGTTGGTGTAACAGCTTGACTAGGGATCTTGCCACTTCAAACAAGATGAGAACGTGCCTTTTCCCCTTAACCCATCCTCATCTCCATCCTTCTGTCCATCACCCCATGGAGTGAGGAATGCACTGCTGGGCATCACTGCTAATGGACACCACCAGAGGCAGCTTGTTCAAACAGACCTGGTGTTCCTTCATGGTGAGCCCAGTGTAAAGAAATTATTGTGCTCCCTTCATCATTTGTCCATGCAGCTCAAAGATGCCAGCTGCTCCTGGAAGCACGGGAATAAGTGAAATGCTTTCTGCCACCTTAATGTTGCTGTTGGCTACATGCTGCAGGTTTAGTCATTCTTATAACATATTTCCACAATGGTGTGTTTCCATCATCATTCCACAGTGATGTATTTAAAGGCTTTCCATGAGTTGTTTTTTTTTTTTTTTTTTTTTTTTTTTTTTTTTTTTTTTTTTTTTTTTTCTTGCTCAGAATCTCTTAAATGAATGGCTTCACAAACTGTGTGTCAGGACCTTCAAGTTTTGAAGACTTAGAGACAAGTCAAAGCAATGTGAAGACAATGTCTGCTACCTGTCCTAACCCTGTCTCAGCCCATGAGGTTAATGGCACAGATGGTGGAAATGGTAGTACTTAATTTATAGAATCATAGAATATCTGAAGATGTAAGGGACCCACAAGGATGCTTGAAGTTCATTTAAAAGGGTACCTGTCATTTGCAGCACAGTCCAAGACTTTATAATTCCATTGCTGTTATTATTGCTGATATTAGTTTAGACCTTGATTGTTTTGCACAGCGGAGGATGTGAACTCCCTAAAGAGCAATGCTGGGACTGTTGTTGTTCTGGTGAATGTGAAACAGTCTTTTGACCTGTGCAGAAACACTCACATAGAGGGAAGAGTGAAACCTAAATTTCCTGACTACTGGACTCTTTTTTTTGTTTCCAAGGGCTGAGATATGCCATGTGGTGAGGATCACTTCACAGACACTCAGACATGGGTGTTACTGCTCTGCTGCAATGCCCGGGGCCTACCCACCTCTCTTAGCTCATTACCTTTCTGTGGCCTTTAGAAATGCATGTCTTGGATATTCCAGTGTTTTTTTCGCTCCCGCAACTCTTTATTCCCAGCTCTGAAGATGGAAGGAGACACAGCCAGCAGTGCTGTCAGGAGACTTTCCCCACTAAACTTGCCCTTTGATGAATCTGGCTCCAGAGATTACCCTCCCCTCATTAAGCTTATTTTGGGAGATCTTGTTTTTTCCCCTGCTGGCTCCTGTAGACATCTCAAACATTGTCTGAAAGATCCAGATCATGAGTGGCAGGGCAGAGTCTTCTCCCAGGTCTGTTTTGAGCAGAGCTGGAAGAAATTTTTTTTTTTTTGAGTATTTTCCAAGATACCTTTTGCTCATGCTCTTCCTTGTGCCATTCCCTGGAGTGTGTCTTGATGTGCCTGTGCACTGCTGGTTCACCCTTGTATTTACCACATACTACCATCTCTGGCATACTGGTTTTCCTGGGGAAAAGGTTGGAGTGGAAGTCCAGATAGACTAGAGAAGCTGGAGAAGAGACTCCTCAGCCCCAGCTGACAAACACTCTCTGCACCCAACAGTAAGGTTTGATGTTCCATTCCTGTCCTGCCCCATATCAGGGACAACCCCTGAAAAACCCTTGTTAGAAGCAGTTAGAGTTCTTGATTCATTCTTCTCTCCTTTAATCTCAAATTCCCCTTTTCTGATGCCAAATCCCCTCTCTTTTCCCTAGCAGGACCAACTTCTACATTTCCTTCCTTCTCTCATATTTTCTCCTCCTGTTTTGTTCCCTCTTATCCCATTTTGCAGGACTTCTTCTTGTTCCCCATGGTTGGAAAACCTTTTCTGGGAGTAGAACTCACCAACAAATCTACTGTAATCAGCAAAATTTCTTCAGGCTAGCATGAGAGCGTTCCACCCCACCCAAACCCCTCACTGGCTGAACTTGCACCTTACAGAGCAGAGTTTGCAGTGTCACAGGACTTCCTGTTGAAATGCTGATTTTTTCCGTGCTTTAAGATGCTCTTGGTTTCAGAGTTGAGGATGACTCCTTTGTAGGATGCCTGTGGATGGCTCCTGCTTTTCCTCCTCACTCTGTTTGGAATGTGTGCTGACTGTTCCCTCTCTTTTGTCCCTGCAGGGCGTACATGAGTGTGAAGGAGCTGAAGGAGGCTCTGCAGCTGAACAGCACCCATTTCCTCAATGTTTACTTTGCCAGTTCAGTGAGGGAAGAGTTGGCTGGTGCTGCCACTTGGCCGTGGGACAAAGAGGCCCTTAGTCACCTGGGTAAGTAATTTATCCTGTTCCCGGGGTCTCAGAATTATTTGTTTTCCTCTCTCTTCCTCAACTTGGCAAAAAAAGCAGATGTGCTCTGCCTCAGCATTGTGGATGTCTGATAAGAAGGTCGTGATAACAGGGTTTGGGTGTTCCAACAGCTGCTGCTGCAAGGAAAAGAGCTGCCAGTTCCCTGAATCCATGCAGGTCAGGTGGTGAGGTTACACACTGACAAGGGCTTCAACATTGTTATGAGAAACTTTTAATGGTGAAGGCAGTGGGACTACAGATTTACCATAAGTGCAGACTCTGGAGAGAGTTCTGGACTCACATTTGGTTGCTCCTGGACCTTCCAGGTCTAACTTTCAGGATCCTGGAGATGTGAACTCCACTCTGCAGCACGTAATAGCAAACAGATACAAACCAGGAGTGTCAATGTTTTCAGAGCTGAGATGTCAGATTTCAGCAACTCCAGCCAGCAGCCAGAATTGGCCACTTCCGAATCCAGCTGCAAGTGTGAGGATAACTATCAAATTTTACCATGTTTTTATAACTTGGCCTACTACCTGCTGGAGGCAAGGTTCTTCTTGGCCTCAGAGGATTCAGGGCAGACCCTTAAGGTCATCCATCAGTCCTCGTAGGCTGCAAAACAGCCAAAATGCCTACTGGTTCCCTAGAATGTGGTTGTTCTGCGCATTTTCTGCTATTTCTGTTGTTTCCCTTTTTCCTGCCTCTCTTACCACCTCTTCAGTTGTTAGAGTTTTCTGGCAAAGCCCTTTACACTTTGCAGTCAAAATGTCTAAAGTGTTTCTCAATAAGTAACTGGAAATAATTACTCCTGACACCTGCACAGCAGACCTAGACCTTCTGCTTTTACAAGTGCGTGATGTTCAACCCTTAAAAGTTTCACACTGCTGTTAAAGACCTGTTTCAAAGTTCCTTTGTGCCAGTTTCCCTCCCTCAATGAGTTTCAGGGCTGTTTTTTCAATAGAATATTGCTACAGCTGCTTGTTGAGGAAGGCAAATCTCCATGAAATTTATTCTTTCAGCTTCCAGAAATCACTTCCAAGGCTCAGCTTGACAATCATCTGACTGCAGCAAGTGCTTCAGCCACACACATTCCCCTCAGACCTCTCCCCATGGCATGCAAGCCGTTGTACAGAGGGGTAATTGGGGTGACTGGTCTCATCAAAAGCTTGCATTATTTAGCTCCAGTCTCCGAGCCTGTGTCCAGCCAGGGACATGAGAAATGGCACCATCTGGAAATGTTGGATCAGGGCTTTAGCATGGAGGTTCAGGCGAAAAGGGGTGTTGTCTTGACTCTGGTGCCAGAGCTGTGAAGTATGAAGCTGGATCCAAACTTCTTTGAGTCTCTGGCACGAACTGAAGACTTTGGTTCGAGACTGTCCTTGGTTTTAGATTTAATGAGCTTGGGAGGGTGGGTGGTGGACTCTGTTCTCCATAAACAGCGAGCTTCACCACATCATCACTTGCTTTGTATCATGCACAATGTATATTATTGTCCCACACAGAAGAAACTTAGGACTGAGGTGGCCATGAATATGTGGCTTTTGACAAAAGCTCTCACAAGAGACTAATGGAGAATCTGAGTAGATGTGAAAGTAAAGCTGTGAGTAAAGAGAAAGGAAAACCTTGGGAGGAGTTCATGGCAGTTTGAGAAAAATTTCTGAGCTTAAGGACCTAGCTATGACCAGAGGTGAAGACAGGTCTATACAAAAGAGAGGGGTCTGTCTCCAAAAAGACAGACTCCTTTCCTTATGCTAAATCTTGCTAATCTGCTGTCTATCCTGACATTAAAATATTAGGGTCAGCACACAAGGCCTGCACCCCTCATGCCATGGTCTGCTCCTTTGGAGCAGAAATGCTGATTTTTTTGCCATGCTGATTTTTCTCTACACCCATAGAGACCCTCCATGCTTCAGCTCTCTGCATGAATCAGATTGGTTCTCTGAGAAGCCAAACTGCCTCTTGTCTGCAGAGAGTCTTGGTCAGTTTGCTCTGTTGCTCTGAACTGGACTTTCTTAGATGTTTTCAGGAGAAACATCATGAGACTTTCTCTTCTCCAGCTGCCTTCCTTTCTGCTATTTTAATACTTTGCCACAGCCCAAAGATCACTAGATTTATTGTTCTCCATCAGTTCTTCTCTAGAACAGAAGAACTGTTTAATCTGCCACTTGGATTTTGATCTTCTTATAAATAATTTTTTCATGATCTTTGAGTGTGTTTTTCAAGAGGGTCCTGCTCACCTTCCTGTTGGTGTCATCACCTTCTGGAAGTCTTCAGTGAACTTTGTTTTTCATCCCCTTCTCTTCACAATGCTTCTTTGGGACTACCAGAAATTACCTTTGACCATTCACGTGCTGGTTACCTACAGTTCTATCGCTCTCCTCCAGACTTTTTTCCTGAGGAAATTTAATTTTCAGGCAGCCTTTCTGAAGGCTTGGGGATAGTTTACCAATAATACAGCCAACAGCAACTACTTTCAATGAAGCATAAAAGACAATTACTGGCTTGGAGAGGCTGAAGTGGTCTATGAAATTTCTATAGACCGTGTTTCAGCTACTGTGGAGCTCCCAGAGAAAGACAGCTTGCTGCCAGCAAGCAGCAGAGGTAGGTCTCAGGTCTGTTTGCACCACTCCCTGTGACTACACTGTCTGTCTCAGTCTTTCCACCGTAATCGCAGCGAGTTCCTCGCAAATTCAGATTTCTTGGAGTCTGGAATGAGTTTTCTGAGAGCTTAGAAGTAAATCTTTTTAACTACAAAGCAGAAAGGGTTGAAGAACTTCCTTTCAGGAAAAAAAAAAAAAAAAAAATCCTTAACTTTCTGTGGTGGAAAGCCTTGTTCAAAAAACCCAGTAATGTAATAATGCAGATGCTTTGAACTTCGTGTGTAGCTGCATGTGAACTGCATAAACGTGGTCGAAAGGCAAGGGAATGGTGAACATTTGATGTTATAAATACTTTCTGTAGTTATATAAGCTGAGGCCAGCTCATATATCTGGCAGAGGTCAGTGGCTCCTGAAGGAGGGCCAGCCCTTCCATCCGAGGTACCTTAGGCAATGGCCATCTTCCTGTCTGACTAACTGTCATGCGTTTGTTCCATTCATTGCTCTGACTCAGTGTTTGGGGAACACTGGCCCTGCAATGCAGGTTCAGCTTTGTGGTTTACTGTTTAAAAGTCCTGTGGTTACTTGGGAATGTCCTCTGGGATAGCCCTGACCTAGGAACAGGTTGGCTTCTTTGGGACTGGCATGGGCAGGAGTCCTTCAGCATTGCCATGATCCTGGCTCGTAGCAGAGAATGTCCTGGGAGCAGGAGATTCCAGGGCTGTGAGAGCAAAGGAGAAGCACAGTCTACACCAGCACAAGTCTGGTGGGCTCAGATCAAGCTCTTGTTGCTTGATCAGAGTGGAGAGTTGGCCCTGGGGACATTACCAGGTCTGCAGCTGGTAGGTCTGGCCTGGAGAGACAAGGTGTTGAGGCCAGACCTGAAACTTTCCAGCTGCCTGGACTTGGTTGTTTGAGCAAGTCCAAAGCAGTCTCTGGTTCACCTGCCTCGGAGTGCTGGACCCCCTTGATACCACAGGGATATGGAAGTTTTGAGCTTTGTTGTGTAAATGCTGACCCTATAGACCTCCCTGAGTTGGTTCTCAGGCACTGAAAGCCCAGTTTAGCCCCTTGCCCAGGGCAGGAGGAAGCAGAGGTGAGAAGGGAATGCCCGAATTGCAGTGGAGAGAGGGGGGAGGGTGGTCCTGTTGGGATGTTATGAACACTTCCACATCTTGCCTTCACAGCCAGGATCCTGCAGAGGGGAAATAGAACTTCCTGGTCCAAAGCTGGGAGCACTCCCAACTCATCAGGGAGCAGTGGGGACAGGGAATGAAGGGATAGGGATGTTCTGGAAGGCAGAGTTCTCAGGCTGTTTCTAATTCTGCCATTTAATTAGTTGTTAAAATAAGTACTAAAAATATGATGGTCCTTGTGGAGTGTGAGGGAGGAATGGACTAGGGGGAGCCAGCAGAGAGCAGGGGAGGGGACAGGGTACCACGGCCTTGGCATCCCTGTCTTGTGACAGTTTTCTGCCTCCCTGTACTGGAATCCCATTTATTCCACCACATGGGAAGAGCATTGGATTTCTGCAGGGAGGAGGGCTGGGCTGCTTGGTGTCAGGATGCCCTGTGCCCCTGGTGCTCAGCCCCTTTCCCTGTGGTTATTGCTGCAGGATGCATGCCGGGCTCTCACATCTCGTTTACTTGTTTATGAACACTATTTTCTTTCTGTATGCACATTCCTCCTTTCAGACCTTTGGGCAGGCAGCCCCCCTGCCTGGCTCAGGCTTGGGTTTGGCTGTAGAGATGCCTTTTCTTTCTGTTCTCTCTTCTCTCATGCCCTGTTTTGATTGAAATGAGAAGCAGCTTTGCTTTTATGTGCCCACTGGGTTTCCCATCAATGGGATGCCCTTTGCTATCTATAGCATTTACTAGGGTGGTAATTGAGAGGGTGATGGCTTCCAGAAACCTAATAGTTGACAGGACAGATCATGATGGTCCCAGAAGGGTTTTTCAGCCTCTGTGCCTTCTTCTTGTGACCCGTCTCCAGGCAACTAAAGGGTCAAGAGCTGATTGATGGGATGCAAAGTCCTTTGCTCTCTTGTCTCACAACTAGGAAGAAAGGGAATGCAGCTACTTTGTGACCCATCCTTTGCCTCAAGCCCTGGGCAGAAGATCCACACTGTGGGAAGGAAGAGCAATAAACATGAATTTTGAGCTAAGAAATGGTGCCACTTGACAGGTCAGTGGTGCCTCTCAGCCCTTCCAGGGGCCACACATGCAGGATGTTCCACAGAAGATGCCACCCTCATTTCTTCCCCCCTTGTTGGAAGGGCTTGGGAGAATTGCTCAGGGAGTCTCTGAAGATCCCTTCCCAGCCCCCAGCTCAGTGTTCACCCAGCATGGCTCCCCCATGGGAGTCACAGACCTGCTGGTGCCTTGCCAGGGACACTGTGATCTGAAGAAAACCCTCTCTTGGAAGGAATGCCCTGTACTCGAGGACACGAGGTAGTCGGCAGCACACGGAGCTGATCCAGGAGCAGATTTCAAGCAGTCTGTGTGGCTGGAGACAGGATCACACTGTGGCCACCTGCCAGCTCTAACTTTGCTGGCAGGGCAGTGATCATCAGCAGAGATGCAGTAGCAGAGGCTCTGCCGTGAGGTAGCTGGCACAGTAAATCCTCCAGGGCCCTGCAAAGGAGGGAGCAAGCTGTGCTGGAGCCAACTATTCACCACACTGCCATCCAAGCTGTCTGGGTTAAAAGTAGTTGTGTAAAAACAGCCTCCTGAGACATGGAGGGGTTGCCTGGAGTCAGCCTGGGCGCATGCTGGGGTTCTGCTTTTAGCACCCCTGTCTTGTTGATACTTCCCAGCCCCTGCTCCTCCGCTGTAAGGCAGCGTGGAAAAGTGGATGGAGAGTGAAAATGAGAAGAGAAAAAGGGGGGAAATGGCCAGTGAAAAACCTCAAAAAAATGAAGAGATTCCAAAGCAATTTTAACGTGGATAAAATAAAGGAGGTGAATAAAAGGAGGCCAGTGAAGCAAATATTTTTGTTCTCAAGCACCTTCTGTGGACAGTTTCCTAGCAGATGTGGTACAGAGCCATCAGCACAGGGTGTGCATCCCAGCTCAGGGGCTGGAGATGCTGGCAGTGAGCAAAGGGAAGGCTCTGCTCCACCTGGCTTTTGTCAGTATCCTTGATCCTTGTTCTTCCCATCACAGATGGGCTCACAGGAAAGGAAACACCACTTGCCCTTACAGACACAGTTCAGTTTAGGGCAGGATGATCATGGGTCCTGTCCAGCTCTGTGCTGTTGCTCTCAGTATGAGGTGGCAGCTCTGGGGCAGTTTCTGGGGGGCTTACCTGTGCCTTGCTCCAACATCTTTGACAGCTGAACCTGCCCAAACTGTCTCAGAGACAAACTGCCCCTCTTGTGTCTCCTTGAGTCAGGGGCTGGGGTACTCCAGTGAAGAGGAATAGGTTTGTGGTGGTTTGTGAGGATCTTGTGGGGTTCATTTGCCCCTTGTTCCTGTGAAGGGGAGGAAGAGGTCTTCAGAAGCTATGTCTTGGGAAATCCCACTCTAAAATACACTGAATTTGGGTCAAGTTTGTGGTAGAAGCTTAGTGGATTTCAACCATACCTCATGAGACTTTCAGCTTACCCCACAGCATCTGGTTTGGAGGTTGAAGCAATAGGTCATGGGTGATTTCTGAGCAGGGGCTGGAGGTAGTGCACTTGAATCTCCACATGGATTTGTGCTGAAGCTGGCTTCTAGTTGGCACAGCTGAGTGTGTCGGGACATTGCTCAGCACCTCGTTGTCCTCACCTGCCATGGGAGCTGGCCTGCCTTAGATACCTGTCTAGGGAAGGACTTCTGTCCTCTGGTTCAAAATATGAACCCTGTAAAGTCACAGCATGGCTCGATTTGGTGCTCTGCTCCAAACCTCCTTTGGAGCTGTGTGATCCAAAGCAGTCTCTGAATTACTGCTGTGCAAAAAGATGCAGAGGGCAACAGTAGCTGCAATGATTGAAGATGTTGAGGGGGGAATAAAGTGGTAGGAGGGGAAGAAAAGCCACCCACCCTGTTCCAATCGAAGAGGGCAAAGGAGCCTCTTGGTATCCTATCAGGGGCTGAATATTTCCACCTTTGGGTCTCCATCTGGCCCCTCGTCTGTGGCCTGGAAGCACAATGAGAGGAATTTCACCTCTCACAGGTGAGAAATGACAGATATCCACTGTCCCTTTCCTGGAATGATGCTCTCTGTACTTGCCATTCCAGGTGGAGTTGTCCTCAACCCTGCTTACTACGGCATGCACGGCCACACCAACACCATGATCCACGAAGTGGGGCATGTCCTGGGGCTCTACCACGTCTTTAAGGGAGTGAGTGAGAGGGAATCTTGTGACGATCCCTGCAGGGAGACCACTCCATCCATGGAGACAGGAGACCTCTGTGCTGACACTGCCCCTGCCCCAAAGAGTAAACTCTGTCGGGATCCAGACCCTACCAATGACACCTGCGGCCAGACACATTTCACAGGGACGCCCTTCAACAACTACATGAGTTACACAGGTAACAAGCAATCCTTTTTGGGAGTCATGAGGGGTCACCTTCCTTAAAACCTGGGATTCCTTCCCTTCTACCTCCATCAGCAGTGCCTTACCTCACTCCCTAACCATCAGGGTGTTTGGGATGTGTCAGGCAGTGCTTGCAGCAGCTGCTTCACCACTTTCTTCCCTCAAGGCTATTTCTATCCATCCCTCTCTTCCCACCACACTGGGCATGCACCAAAGCTGCTGTTGTCTGTGTGCTCTTGTTCTTCGCTCCCGAAGCTATTTTCGTTATTATTTATTATCATTACCGTTAACGATTAACCTCCTGACCCCTTCTGGCTGGGCTCCCCAGGGCGTGCCGCGGTGGCCGGGGTTTGTCCTGCCGTTTCGGGCGGAGCCGCGGGGCGGTGCCGCGCCCAGGTGCGGGGCGGGGCGGTGCCGCGCCCAGGTGCGGGGCGGGGCGGTGCCGCGCCCAGGTGCGGCGCGGGGCGGTGCCGCGCCCAGGTGCGGGGCGGTGCCGCGCCCAGGTGCGGGGCGGGGCGGTGCCGCGCCCAGGTGCGGGGCGGGGCGGTGCCGCGCCCAGGTGCGGGGCGGTGCCGCGCCCAGGTGCGGGGCGGGGCGGTGCCGCGCCCAGGTGCGGCGCGGGGCGGCGCGGCGCGGGCAGGTGCGGGGCGGTGCCGCGCCCAGGTGCGGGGCGGTGCGGTGCCGCGCCCAGGTGCGGGGCGGTGCCGCGCCCAGGTGCGGGGCGGGGCGGTGCCGCGCCCAGGTGCGGTGCGGTGCGGTGCCGCGCCCAGGTGCGGGGCGGGGCGGTGCCGCGCCCAGGTGCGGTGCGGTGCGGTGCCGCGCCCAGGTGCGGTGCGGGGCGGTGCCGCGCCCAGGTGCGGCGCGGGGCGGTGCCGCGCCCAGGTGCGGCGCGGCGCGGCGCGGCGCGGGCAGGTGCCGGACGCGGAGCTGCTCGGGCACTGCCATCTGGTGGCTTTGGGGACACACGGCACCAGCGAGCCCCGCCGGCACGCCGCTGCCTCACAGCCATCCCTACAAATCCCCGAGTCAAACAGTCTCGCCAGGAGCCAAGGGTGCGTGTCACCCTGCCCTGACCGCGGCCCGGCCTCTCCTGTCCCGCAGATGATGACTGCACCAACAGCTTCACCCCCAACCAGGTGGCCCGCATGCACTGCTACCTGGACCTGGTCTACCAGCGCTGGGGCCACAGCAAGAAGCCGGCGCCCATCCCCATCCCCGCCATGGTCACCGGGCAGACACAGCACTCCCTCAGCATCTACTGGCTGCCTCCCATCAGCGGTGTCATCCACGAGAGGTGAGGGAGCCGCGCTTGCACGGGAGCCTGCTGGAAAGGACGCGGGACCCCCCGGTGCCATTCCCACCCTCGTCGTCTCCGGCAGAGCCGGGCTGCTGCCGCGGCCCCCCGGCAGACGGGCTCTCCTGCAAGCTTCCCGCTCTCGGGGTGCCGGGAGGGGAAGCCAAAGAGCATCAGGAGGCAAAGCCAGCTCGAAAACCCCAGAGTGCAATCAGGGAATGAAAAATGGGCTTCATTTAGCACTTATTGTATAAAGTAGCTATTTACCAGGAGGAAATGCAGCCCTGTGGTTAAGGCAGGGAGCTCGAACCACAAGAGCTGGGTTTCGTTCCCAGCGCTGTCATGGACTCGCAGAGCAGCTAACTGGGGGTAAGTCAGGAAACTTCTCAAGCCAGAGAAATGACGCCAAGGAGCCAGAGTTGTTTGGCTGTTGAGCAGTGCATGGCCACGAGTGTTGAGTGGATGTCTGTCTTCTCCCCACTAAGGGAGCCACTAAGACCTGGACACACCACCAGTGTCTCTGTTCAGCAGCCCCTCTTACTAATATATTTCAGTTTCCACCAGGGTTTAGGTGGTGAGACTTTATTTTTAGTTTGTTTTTTGGTTTGGTTTTTGTTTTTTTTTTTTTTTTTTTTTTTTTTTTTTTTTGCTTATGGGATCATAAGCACATACATAAAGAGCTTTTGAACTTGTTTTGAAGCTGCTTCATAAAGCTGTCTTTTATAATTAAAAGGAAAATGCTTTTGATGGTAGCTGGGGCACTCTTGGGTCAGTGTTTGCTGACTTTTCAAAGAATGGGTGCTCTCCACAATGGGCCTTTTGCTCAGGAGTAACAAGAGCACGTGCATCTCACCCCACAGACAGGAGAGGCTCTGAGTGCTGGGTAGCTTCAAGTCATCCAAATAAACTGTTTTGTTGAGGAATGAAGTGATTTGGGAGCAGGAAAACATGGATCTAGAAGGGAGGCACTTAGGAACCACCCCAAGCTGTCACTCATAGCTGTCTCAGGAGCTGATCCATTGTGGCAGTCCTGCATCCCCTGAGAAGAACTGGTCGAGGAAGGTGGCTGAGGCTGGCCCTTATAATAGAGAAATGCCTTTATCTTTTCTGGAGAGCATGGCAATTGCCATTATTGAGACTGGTTTGTTGAAAGCCAAAACCTAACTCTGGGTTGAGCAGAGGGGTCCTTATTTGCACCCACCCTATCCAGAGGCATTACCCTGGGATGTGTGGGGTCTGTTAGCTCTGACTGGCAGGGATGGAACAGGTTATTAAGACTGCCCAGAGAGCATGGAGAAGAGGAGAGATTAAATCCAGCCTGTCCCATGGGTGCTGGTATTTCCCTGCCTTTGAAGAAGCTGATTGCAAGCAGGATGATATACCCAGGGAGATGTGAGACCTTAGCTCTGCTTTTCCAACTCCTTGTCGGGTGCCACCTGGACAGGTGTGGCTGGGGGGTTGGCTGGTCCTGCTGAGACGTGCTGGGGTGTGTGCTCTGTCAGCAGGGAGCAGGACACGCTGTGTGACAGCTGTGCTGAGGATGGCACCTTCCGTCAGTACGTGCACGAGGCCTCCTCCCCTCGCGTCTGCGACTCCTCCGGCTACTGGACCCCAGAAGAAGCAGAAGGTAAATGTCTCCTCTCTTCTCCTCTCTGTGAGCCCCCAGACAGAATCTTCCTGGTACAAGAAAAAGAATTTGTTTGTTCTTTCAGAAAATCAGTTGTCTTTGCAAGGGTTCTGTAGTGCAGGAAGAACTTCTTGGTGCCCAGGAAAAACCTGGTAATGGCCAGATGGCTTTGGACAACCCGACTGGCATTCCAATATTAACCCAAATAATTGTTCAGGCAGGTGTTGTTGAGAGACGCTGACCAAAGGGAGATGCATTTAACTGAAATCAGTCTTAAAATACAGATCTTGGGACCTCATTCAAAACCCCAGGGACGTGCACAGAGTTTAATGTAGTCTTGTCCACAGAGAGCAAGAGGAGCTCTGTGTTGAGTCCCACTGAGTCTATGCCAAGTCCTGGGCAGACCATTCCTCCCTAGCTAGGCCAACAGCAGCTGGGCTTTGCAACTTCTCTTGTGCTGAGACCCAGATGTTGGTTTAGAGACCCACCTTGTGGGCACAGTGGTGACTTTCAGGGTCACACAGTTCCCATATGAGCTACTGGGCTTTTCTTGCTGCCTCAGCTCCTCCAAGAGCAGGGTAGAGGAGGCAGGAGACCAGGGGAGCTGATCCTGGGAGCTGTGTGAGGTGCATGTGCTGCTGCTGAACCATGCAGAGCCAGAGGATGTGGTTGTGTGCATCTGTAGTTATCACACGTGCTTGTTTGCACTGATAAAAATAGAGAGATTTTGGGTTTCAGAAACTTTTGGACTTGTCTTATATGGGTGAAGGCTTTGAATTGGTGCTGGGCCCTCAGAAATGCTTCCAGTGGCTAATGAAGACAAGGGTATTTCTACTACAGAATGATAAATTCCAGTGTTCCTTTTTGGGTCTGAAAAGCCAGCACTCCATTTCTCCTCCTGAGTGCTAATCCACCATCAGGGGAGGCAGACTGGGGCTCTGAGGTACTGTCCTGGAGGATGTTCTGGAAAATCAGCCTTCCAGAGCTGCTTCCCTGCTTTGGACCTGGCCCCTTCCTGACTGTGACCTGTTGCAGCCTGTGCTTGTGCAAAGCTTCAGTCTCTGCTCTGCTTGGAGCATTCAGGTGCCCTTGGCAAAGTTTCTGCACCTGTGAGGCTGCAGAGCAAGCTTCACGTTCCTCAGCAGTGTCTGGGCTATCCCTAGATCTCTGCACTGTGTCAGCTGCAGTGTGGATCCCACTGCTCCCATTTGGGAGGGCTGTGAGTCCCCAGGTCTGCTGAGCCTTGTGCATATGTGCAAGTGCCCAGGAGCTGGGAGACCAGTGGGGATTATTGCTTTCCAGGACGTTAGGGCAGGTGCCACCAGGCCTAGGACATGTGGGTGCAAACCCACTTGAGTGTGAACTTACGGCCTGGTGATGCTTAAGCACCTACAGGGAAGATCACCCCTGTGGGTCTCCTGTGATGCCAGCTGTCCCCGGTTTTCACCAGCTTCCTCCTTGTCCCAGGTCCTCCAGACGTGGATCAGCCCTGTGAGCCCAGTCTGCAGGCGTGGAGCCCGGAGCTCCACCTTTACGACATGAACATGACGGTGCCGTGCCCCCAGCCCGACGGCTGCATCCTGGAGCTGCGCTTCCTGCACCCCGTCTACCCCGATTCTCTCACCCTCTGGACCACCTACCTCTCCACAGGCTCTCCCAAGGCACTGTCTGACATTGAAATCCTGACAGAGCAAGGGGAGTCCATCCACCTGGGCCCCCTGGACACCTTCTGCGATGTCCCCTTTACTGTGAAGCTCAATATCCCTAAAAAGATGTCTGGAGTTAAAATCTACACCTTTGATGAGAGGATGGAGATAGACACAGCCCTGCTGACCTCCAGGCCTCACAGCTCCCTGTGCTCTGCCTGCAGACTGATCCAGTACCGGGTGCTCCGTGAGCCCCCATTTGCAGACGGGTCCCCTGCCACCCCCCTGCAGGCACATCGCCAGTTCATCGACACGTGAGTCACAGACCTGCTCCGTTCTGACCTGAAGGGGTGGCTGAAGGTGGTGGGTTTGTTTATCTCCTTGTGCCTTCTCCCTCTGAATCCCTGGATGGTTTTGCTTCTGTTTTGTTTTCACTCCTGTCCCCCTGCTCTGGGAATTACTGCAGCCAGTGCCATTGAGCAAAGGTGTGGCAGACCCACCATGCTAGCAGGACTCTTGTCCATGAGCCCAGGTTAACTAGACGGAGCTTATTAAACCTAGAAACATTTCCCCCATCAATCTAATGAATAAAATTATTACTCAAGCTAATTCCACTTCTTCCCAGTTCAGACCCTTGGGAAATAACAGCATGACCCAAAAGAGCCTCTCTTCCCACAGGCTCTGCCTGTGGCAGAGTATGACGCCACATCAGATACTGCATGGATGTATACACGTGGTGTCTATAGCTGGGATGAGCAAATCTCAGTGCTGCAGATGTTGCTGTTCCCTCAAGTTCTCTCTGTCCCTGCAGGGAAGTCACTCCTGGGCAGCTGTACCGCTACCAGGTGCAGGTGGTCTCTGGGACAACTTCAGGAGAAGCCTCCCCACCGCTCGTCCATGTGCACGGAGCACCCTACTGTGGCGATGGGAAGGTGACCACGTAAGTTGAAAACCTCCTCAAGCTCTCAGCTGAGGTTCTTTAAGCTGTCAGGTCACCCTGCCCCAAAGCTGGGTCCTCCATGCACGGGTACATGGCTGAAGCTGCTGCACAAAATGCCTCCAGCAGACCGAGCTATGGAGCTTGTGCTTTGTGAAGTGCCATGTGCATAGGAGATGGAGATGGTCTTTTTGAGAGGCATGGTCTGCATGAGGGATCCAACTTGAACATCCTCTGTTCCTGACTTCAGAGCTTGGATTCTGGCCCATCTCAGCAAACTGTGGCAGAGTCCAGCCCAAAGGATCTGCCTTTGGAAGTGGGCAGTATAACTTTTTGCTCAGGGGCCTGCAGGAGTAGGTTCTACAATGAGCACAGTCCTACACAGTGCAGTGTCTTTAGAGTGCTGTCCAGTCTCTGCTCAGAGACCCCAAATAATGAGGGATGCACTGCCTCTACACTGAGAGAGCCTAATGCTTCACCTGCTCTACCTGAGAGATAATTATTTCAGATTTCCATATTTGAGCTTTTTAAGACTTCAACTTCCAGAATACTCAGGATCACTTTCATTTGAAAACAGTTTTCTTGGCAGGGTAAGGAAAGGGAAAGGGAGAGGAACCTTCTGTCTCTCCCCTTCTCCTGCCTCCTTCTCCAGCTCCCACTGAAACCCCAGCCCCATTTCAGAATCTCCTGCCTTCTCCAACACTTGCTTTCTCCAGCAACAGGTCTTCCTGATGCTTAGTTCTATACTTTTTCTATTCTCCCAGAGTTATTGCCTCAAGTTTTACAGCAAAGTCACAGTACAATCATGTCTGCTCCCAAATGCTGTGACTTTAACCTCTTTTTATCCTCTGGCAAGGTGTTTTCTCTATCTAATTCCATGTGAGGTTCTTCCTTTTGAACTGCTTCTGTGGAAATAGAACCAAGATAAGGGGTCCTCACTCATGACTGGGCAGGAGCACAGGGGGTTTGAGTCAAAGGTGGTAATAATACATCTGGCTGTTGCCCTCATAGGAGCCTGGAGGAGGAATGTGATGATGGGGACTTGCTGGATGGAGATGGCTGTTCCAGGAAGTGTAAAAAGGAAAAAGGCTTCAACTGTGTTGGTGAGTCCAAGTGGATTGAGACAGGTCCAAATGGACTGACTCCTCCTGAGGCAGGAGTCAAAACTGTACGTTATTCACGCTGCTCCTTAGAGGCCGTGCACCTCATCGCAACGGAACCTGGAACTGCAGCTGGAGTGATCCATGGATCTTGTCAGGCCCTTGTGCTGGGAAAACCCCAGGCTAATGAGACAGCAAATCTCTCATAAAGAGAGGAGGTGTGTGTGGCTGGAGCCTGGTTTGTAAGCAGCTCATCCCTGTTCTCCCTGCAGGGGAGCCAAGCCTGTGCTACGTTCACGACGGGGATGGGGTGTGTGAGCCCTTTGAGGAGACAAGCAGCATGCTGGACTGTGGTCCCCACACTCCTGAGGGGTTTGTGGATCTGTGGGCAGTGAAAGCCTACGCCTCCCAACAGGATGAAAAGTCCTGCCCTGCTTCCATAGTCACTGGAGAGCCTGTTGTGAAGGTGAGTGAAGGCATGGACAAAAAAAAATGACAAAGTCTGTGCTGGGGAAAGCACAAACAAAATCAGCTCTGGAAGCATTCATTGATTATTTTCTTCCCAACCAGGGACTGAGTGCAAGACCTGGGCATTTCTCACACTCCTCTTGCATCAGTCCCTGAGTTCAGGAGCTGCAGGTCATGGAGAGGTGCTTCATCTTGGCATGGAGCACCTCCCCCAGCCAAGCATTTCACTGAACAGTGACCACCCCATCCCACCAGCCAAATGCTCAACTTGGAGCATGTGACTTGTCCCACTGCTGGCTTAAAAAAATTCCTGTCAGTCTAATACCTTTTAAGGTCAGAGCCTGAAAGGATGAAATCACGCACACATCAGCATCTGTACTGCTCCCAAGCCCTCTGATCTGAAGCCAAGGAAAAATCAATGGGAGAATTCCCATCTTTCATATGGGCTTTGGAGCAGAGCCTGGAGGGGATTTTGCCTGATTGGTGTTAACGTGGTGTGTATGTTCTTTCCTAGCAAGCTGAAGAAAGGCAAGAAGTATGTAAAGAGATCATATTTAGCCCTTTACACATGTGTTTCTACTGACCTGATATGGGAATTATCTTCTTGAGACCTGCAGCATGATTAAACTGCCCAGACATCCATGTCTAATGAGGTGCCTTGGGCTCAGGTGTCTGTTCCTTTACAGTGACACCTGTATCCTCCCAGGTTTTGTCTGCCAGGCCTGTGGGGATGTCGGGGATGCCACAGGGCATTGAATGGAACAAAAGTGTGTTATTCAGGCAAATGAATCACTCCTTTGTATCTCGTGAGCCCAGCCAAAATCAGGATGCCATGGTTGCACCTACCAGCTCACAGCTTGGCTCATTGTTTGTTGCTCAGCCCTACAGACACCATGAGATGCTTAAACAACACACTTACAGCACTCCAAAATGGCAAAGGTCTTCTGTGTGGGCAGTGAGATGTCACTTAGGAAGCCACATCCTAACTGTCTTCATGCTAAGAGCCACCTTGGGGACCTTCTCAACACTTTTTCAATCTTCCTTGAAGTTTTGTTGGTGCTGTTTTTCTCCTTTCCTTGCAACCTTCTGGGTTGAAATAAATCTCTCCTTTCAGGTATGTAAATCCCACCCTCGTGAGGTGCCAAAGGACCTTTTGCAGGCTGCTTGGTTTCCATGTGCTCCCAGCCAAGGGAATGCTCAGGACCCAAATGAGAAGATGCTTTTGGGCGATGAGGGAGTTTGGCTCAAGGTAAGTGAGGGTATGTGGTCAGGCACAAAGGGTTTGTTTGTCTTTACCCAGCTCTGGTGACAAAGCCCATCCTTTTCTGTCCTGTAGGACCTACAGCAACCTTTAAAACTACTCAGGTAGTATTCCATATGCTACTGCTCTCTTTGTAAATCCCAAAATAGCCGTGTCTGGATCTTACGTAGTTGCCCCATTCCCACTGTGAACAGCAAACCCATCCTGGGGCAGATTGCCAGGAGAAGGACTGCATGAAACCAAAATACCACAGAAATGCCTCGAGGCTGAGAAACAACTTGCTCCTGACTCTCCCCTGCAGTCAAGCTGTGCTTTAACACACCCAAAGGGTAGGCACAGGCTGTGTTTAAAGTCCTAGTGCCTTTGTTCCAGCAGCAGAGGGCAGCTGGATACCCTCTGCCATCCTGAGGGGTCCTGAGCACCCCAAGCCCACAGCAACCAGCTGTGGCACAGCTGATTCTGATGGCTGACCAGAGGTGGCATCTCTGTGCCCCAGGATGTTGGTCCTGTAGCCCAACAGGGCTTTGGGGGCTGCCCCTGGGAGGGTCCAACCCCTCTGTCCCAGCAGGTAGAGGAGAGGGACAGAGGAGGGCTGAGGATTAGGCCACTGGGATTTTTACAGTGTTGGGTTTCTGACCACAGGCTCAGTTTAGAGGTTTTGTGGTGTTGCTGGAAAGCCTGGCTCTGGCATGCTGCTCCTCTGTGCACTGAGGAGCAGCTCACCCTGTTTTGCTCGAGGTTCTCTAGAGAAGGCCTCTTTCCCCACATGCTCAGACAACTCAGTGAATCATCAAACCTCAGTCAACAAACATGAGTACTGCTCTGAGATCCTCTGTCTCCCCAAAACAACTTCCTTTACCCTTCTAATTTTCCCTCTCTTCCTTGTCTGTGTGCTCACAACCCAGTTTGTGGCCGCAGTCTCTGGCCATGACAAACGTGCCTCCTTTCCTCCTTTGCTAAGGAGAAAGCAGTAATCCTCCCCCTTGGCCTTACCTAGATGAAAGCTTGCTTTCCACTTCTCAGCAGGGGTTAAAACATGTTACAGCTTTATTGGAGCTTGTGGTCAGTCCTCTTCCTCTATGGATGTTTATACTAAAGACTTTCATTACTGGTTCTCTGTGCTCTCTCTAGGAGTGCTATTATTTTCCGCCCATAAAATTATTTATGGACTAGTAATAAATATGCCCTTTTATTCTTTTTTTTTTTCTTGTTGTTTTTTAAGAGTTGGCCTGATTGGTAACATATTGGGTTAGGAAAGATGGCTTTTTGTTGACAATTTGCCTAGCACAGCTGCCTGCCCAGACAGGAATGGTGCTGTTGGTGCACATGTGTACCCATGTGCACGGGGTGTTTGGTGTCCGCCAGCTCCCAGGGCCATTTTAAAGCTGCTGCACCTGTGTCTCCTGGGTTAAAGCTGCACCACAAAACTCATCAGATGGTAGGAATCGCTTCCTACAGCTTTTCTGAAGAGGTGGCACCAATGAACAACAGCAACAGCTGGGTCACAGGATCACAGAATGGCTAGGGTTGGAAAGAAGCTTAAATCCCCTCTAGTTCAAGTCCCCTGCCATGAGGAGAGACACCTTCCACTAGACCAAGTGGCTCAGAGCCCCATCAGATCTCGAATGTTTCCAGGGACCCACAAGTGCTCTGGAAAGCCAGTGCCAGTGTTTCACCATGCTCGTTGTCGTGCTGTAATTAGGCTGGGGGCAAGAGGTGTGTGTGTGTCTGTGCCACGGCACACAGCATCTGCCATGCCCTTGGGTCTGTCTGCACATGAGAATCGTTGCAATTTGCAGATCTCCAGCCATGCTTTGTTCTCAGTTTTTAATACACCTGATGAGGAAAGACATAAAAATCACTTGTAAGCAAGTCAGGATGTGTAATGCAGGAAATTAAATAAGAAGCAGGGAAAGGGAGGGAGAAAAATTAAGAAGATAGCCTGCTGTGGCCAAGCACATAATATGTATTGAAAGGTATTAGGATGTTAATCAAGGCAGCTGCTATTGGCCTAACTTGGGGCCAGCACCTTTCACTCTCATGCAGATGCACTGTAGGAAGGGAAAGACTGAACTCTTCACCTCAAGATGTGTAGCCCAGGGAAAGCCTCACCTGACTTTTCCAACTACCTCCCCTGAGGAACCACACTTGGAGGCTGGGTTAAAATCCTCCAGGTCCTTGGGACTTCAGAGCTGTAGCTCTGTCTCCTTGTCTGTGGGCACTTCTCTGTTTTCCTCCCTGCTTGCTTTCCTGTTTCTTTTCCTTCTTCCCCCATTTATCTTACCAGGGGAGACAGTGGGGATCCACCAACTAAAATCATTTGAGCCCTCTGGTCCACTTCTTGCAGCCGGGCAGCCCTGTAAGCGAGCAAGCCCTGGCTAAGGGAGCAAGGAGACACCAGTGGGGCCTTGCTCATGGGGCTTTTGCTGTGAGCACCTCCCTGCAGGGTGGGACCCCTGGGCTGAAGCCCAAGGTTTCCTCCTGTTCCCGTGTGTGAACAATGCCTGACGTGGCATGAAGCACCCTGGGGCTAGGCTGCCATCACAGACTGCGTGGCTGTCCCCTCCATTCCCACAGTCTGCTCCTTGGGCTGTGCCTGGCCAGCCAGGACTTGTCTTCTTTCCAAATACACCTTTGCCTCGAATTTCTGAGCTTCCTCCACGCCAGCATTCCACAAAAACACTGTATCGGGAGGATCTTGATCAAAACACATCTCGGCACTGGGGGAGGAAGGGGGGGTACTGGGGTGGGGGAGGAAAACATTTCTGTCTTCTTACTTCCAAAGAACATCTGCTCTGCCATGATTGATGCCATGGGCTTCCCAGCTATTTGCAGCTGCCTTCAGGGTTGTAGACAAGTGGCAAGTTGCTGGCTCTCCCAGCAGGCAGGGCTTCTTCCCAGAAATCTTTCCACTGGTTTGCTGGTGGACAGTTTGCTGTTGCAGTGGCTACTGGGGGCATTCTTTGGGCTTGTTTTGTTTTTTTGTCTTTTTTGAGAGCATTTCCATTGGAAATATTCTGGTGGCTAGGCTGGTAGCTGTTTTCCCTGGGTGTCTTGCCTTGCCTGGCCAGCTCTATGTGGGGTGGGAGTCTGTGTCTGGTGAAGGGGGAAAGAAGGTATCCAGGTCTTGCTCAGTTTAAAGAGTAGCAAACGTGGATGCCATGAAGATGCTGTAAATTTACATCAAGGTGTGACTGAGTGTGTGAGGAGAAGGCTAGTAAAAGGAAGAAGGGAAATTCAGAGGGAAAGGACTGTTTTGGCTCTCTTCCTTTCTCCTCCCCACCTTTGCACCCATTTTCAGCCCTGCAAGCTCTCTGACTCCTTATCCCTGCTGTCCTCTTTCTCTCTCTTGCCTATATGAGCTCTGACAAGCTGTATTTGGTGTGCCTGCTCTCAGAGTGTCTCCTGCCCTCTTTCCTAGGTTTGCTTTGAGAGACCTGCAGTGCCCACCTCTCTCCTGCTCTTCCTGGCCTCCTCTGGCACTGTCCCAAGCCAGCAGCTCAAGCCAGTGGTTGCCGTCCAGTTGACTGACACAGATGGACAGAACCGCTCCTTGGGTGAGAACCTCTGGGCTGTGGCACCAGCAGGGACACCTGGAGCCACCACCACAGCTGCCACCTCTCACTGCTGTCCCCTGCCCCTCCTTGCAGCATCTTCTGCCTTCCAAGGTGGTCTGTTGGCGTGTGGGGGGAGCAGATTGTGTCAGACACATTCTTCTCTCTCTCTCAGGATTTTTTCATAGAGGAGCATAGAGGAAAGAAAGAGAAAACAATTTCTATTTCTGCTCCTTGTTTTCCCACGTGGAATGTGGGAATGTTTGAAGAATTGTTTACCTGGGGTGATTGCTTGATTGGATTCTGGTGAGGATTGTTTGAGCCTGATAGCCAAGCCAACCCACCTGGGGCTGGACTCTCACAAGAGGGTCACGAGTTGTGAGTTAGATACGGTAGTTAAAAAAATTAGGTTTGTAGTTTTAGTATCTCCTTTAAGTAGTATATTAATGTATTATAGTATAGTTATAATAAAGAAATCATTCAGCCTTCTGAACTGAAATCAGACATCATCATTTCTGACCACTGGCTCCACCTGCATTTACAACAGCAGATGTAAACCAACAGCAAATCCCAGGAGCTGGACTAGTCCCTTCTTTCTTTGCCTTGCCTCACAGGGACGTACGAGCTGTCATGCCAGCACACCCCCCTCACCATCAATGTGACCCACAGCCAGGAGGACCCGCTCCCCCAGGTTGCCTCGGTGCTTCTCAACTTCTCCTCCCCCCTTGTGGGCATTGCAGCCGTGGCCTTGCGGACCTTGGCCCAGCCGGGCTCCTCTGATCCCCTCACCTCCTGCCTCCTGCAGCACCAGCAGGGATGTGGCCATCCCTGCTACAGGTAGGGATGGTCTCCTCAGGGCATGTCCCGGGGTTACTGCTCTCCTCTGGGAATTTGTGTTTGAAGTCTGGAGTTTTTATCTTCTTGTTGAGTGCCTTGTGACTATCCTCAGATGGCTTTTGAGGTGTTGGTGGAAGATCTGCTGTGTTGAGTGTTGCTGGAGGGAATGGGAAGGCAGAAACCAGATTTTGTGCATGGCCTCTGCATCTAGAAAACTGTGCTAAAGGTCTGATTCCTGGTGGGAAAACCAAGGGAAGTTTGAAAACGGCTGAGAAGTTATCACTGGGAGTTTTTGCTAAAGCTGAAGCATTGGCTTCTTCAGCACTTTCTTTACAAGCTCCACCTCCATCCACTCCAGTCTTCCCTGTGCTGTGCAAGGTGGGGATGGAGCTCTCCTCATCCTCTTTGTTCTCATTCCCAGTCCACCCAGGCCCCTCACAGAGTCTCACACTGCCCTGTTGAACGTGGTGATAATGCCAGCAGCAACCTCAGCACTTTAAATCTGCCGAGTCTGGTTTTCTCTCAGATCCCAGGCTCCCTGAAGCTGCAGATATGTGCTGATCCAGGGCTCCAGTTCAGCCAGTTGCTCAAACCACACCACTGAGAATACTGATTTTTGAGTTGAGCTTTGCTGGGGCTTTGGGGTTCTTAAGCACAGAAGGGCTTTGTCTAGGGTCATCTCATTGCTGTTCTTGTCATGTTCCTTCTGTTGATGTCCTGGATGGGTGAATATCCCTGATAACAAATGAGAGTATGCATGTGTGTTTGTCTTAAAGCCTGTGGGACTGTGGTACAATTGATTTATGTTGAGTTCTGGAAGCCATGAATATCCTGAAGTTGCTTTTTACTTTTTTTTTTTTTTTAAGTGCATGTGTGATTTATACAGAAACATAAATCTTAGTGAGTCAGTATATAAATATTATTCTCAACTTTACATTAAAAGATCAGTGTTCACCTGAAATGCAGCGTGTTTCCTCCTGGTAGCTGTTACAGCAATGTACCCACATGCTTTTAAGACCCTGGCCAACTGATGTGGTTTTTCAATTACATTTTCTCATCCCTTAAAATAATCTTGCATTCTCGTTGCTTGAGAGCTTCCCTCTTCCTCTGAGAAGTGACTGCAAGGAAGAAAAGACGCACTGGACACAGCTGAGCAATGACTGGGGATGAGGAGATGCCCATATAGGGGCAAATAGAGAGGAAAATAGATGTTTTCCTCATAAAAGTCGCATTATAGCTGAAGCACAATCCAATTCCCATATTGCCAAGGCACACCAAGCTGTGTCCCTCTTCCAGGGGCACAGCAGGATCCTCGTGTCTCCTCTTCTTCTTCTTGCCCACCCCTAGGCTCCCCATGGCCATGACTTCACAGCAATATGCTGAATTGCAGGATATGTGTGTGCCCTTAGCAAATGCTCAAAGCAAGTCAGATTCCCAGGGTTTTCAGAGTAGAAAATTCTTTTTAGAGTGTTGATCTTCAGAATTGAAGTCTTGAATATTCAGGGTGGGGAGGTTAGGCTTAGCTTTGAGTAGCCACGCTAATAATAAAAGATCATCCTCTGTTAAGTCAGGAAACATTCAAGTATGCCCCCTTTATTATATTTTTAAAATCTGTTCTATCTCCAAAAGTAATGCACTGCAGTATTTTTAAAGGTTAACAATCCATTTCATTTAAGGTAGGTGGATTCTGGCAGTGGGTATGGGCGGGGGAAATCCCCTATAAAAATCCAGAAATAGAAAATCTTCAGAGGCTGAGAGACATTTGACTGTAAAAGAGCACAGAAGATCCATGTTCCTCCTGCAGAGAGTGGAGCTGACCGTTTGCACGCAGCCTCACGTACACAGTGCGTGCGTGTGAGGGCTCTCCTAAAATAACCTGAGAAAGGACAGCAACAAAAGCAACAAAGAAATGAGATTTCCTGCCCTCAGCCTAGAAATGCTCATTGCCAAAATAATAAATATATGACAGGTTGGTATTTCTGTAGCATCTTTCATCTTGAAGGATCTTGCAGTGCTTTGCAGGCTGGGGAAAACATAGAGATCAGGTTTATGCTGATGAAATGCAGCTTTCTCCAGGCCAGGATGCAACAGGTGTTTGCCTCTAGAAAAGTGCATACTTGTTTTGGAGAAAGTGTCTCCTTTTGCTTTTGGACCCACTCAGGGTGCTGAAGGTTGGCAGAGCACTTGCAGACCAAAACAGGGCAATGTCCTCACTGCCATCGCCAGGAGCCCCTCTCTGCTGGCTCTGCCACCAGACCAGGGTTTGTCTGTGCATTCTGCTCCCAATCACAGCCTGATGAGGTCAAGCAGAAATCAGACTTTTAACACATTTCCACCCAGGAGACCCAAAGCTTCTGTCTTTCATCCTTTTCTTTGCATTTTTAAACTGAGCCACAGTCCCTCCTGTTTAACTTGGTACAGGCTATATGCTGAACCAGGGGAGCATTTTTTATTTCCTCTCTTATGTGTATTTTTAGCTTGCTTTTATTTTTAGTGTGTTTTATTTTACATTCACATATGCTGGGAAATGCCTGGGTGGGTTCGCAGGAAAGGTGCTACCAAAGGCAATCTGCTTTGTGTTTGTATTTCCTGTGTGAAAGCTCTCCTCTGCTCCCCCAAAAGTGGGTGTCAGGCATCAAGGGGAGTCTGGTTTGGAACCCTTTCATATGGAAAATGGATGTGAGGAAGAGAAAATTAGATGGAGGAGGGATTTGTTTACACATTTTCAATTGATAAACTTTATTCAGCGATGAGGGCTGTTTCCCAAACAGGTTTTGTTTGGTTTGTTTTCTTTCTTCCAGGCACCAAATTTATGCAGGGTAAATTTATGGGCTGCATACATGATGGCATGAAGATTTATGGGCACCCTGGTAAACATGCTGGTGTCATATTTCACAGAAATGTAAAATAGTTGGGTTGGAAGGGATCATAAAATCCTGATTCTTGCCTCTGGCTTAGGATGCCTCTGTGGATGGAGTCCCTTTCTCTGGAGGGATTTAGAACATGTAAACATGGCACTTGGGGACATGGGTTAGTGGTGGCCTTGGCACTGCTGGATTAATGGCTGGACTTAATTTTACAGGACTTCTTCAGCCTAAACATTTGTGTTTCCAGGGTCCTGATGACCACCTTTCCTGGGGAATGGGCTCATCCCTACCTTTGAGACCTCTAGAGATGCTTTCCTCCATCATCAAAGCCTGTTGACCTCTGACACTTCTCTTGTGGGTCCCTGACTGGCTGATGGGCAATGGTGGCCAAGACTGTGCTGTAGAATGAGTTATTAATTTTAATTTAAACTAACAAATTAATGCTCTGCTGGAAGGTGTCACAGGTAACCCTTGGAGGGTCAGACACCATTTCATGGACTGCCCTTTCCCATTTGCTCTCTGCAGTCTAAAAAGCTTCTTGAGATTAGTGCTCTCTATATGGGTGTTTTTGGGAATGCTCAAGATGTCTTCTGCCTTTCCCGGAGAATATCCAGGGGAGAAAATATCTCCCAGCACAGGTTTTTCACCAATTTGAACTTGAGTTAAACACAGTAACTGAACAGCTTTCAAACAGGGTGTTTGGTGTCACCTTATGGAAAGGTCTGATGCATTGTTCCAAGAAGAGCTGACCCCAGATACATGGAGGGAATGTGAGTTACAACACGGATCAGTTGTGTGAGTTCCCATGTCCAGTGAAGAAGGGAGCAACCACTGGGAGACCCCAGGTTTGCCAGCAGAGCCCCTTGGTTTTCTGCTACAGCCAGTCTCTCCCATTCTGCCCTGGCCTTCCTGATGTCATACACAGGCACAGGGATTTTTCACAGGGGCTGGATTAAATGCATCCTTCAGAAGGTTCTCTTATCTCCTTTCACAAGCTGCAGGAGGTGATGAGTACACCATCACCCCTGCTGAGCTATTCTCATACCCAGTAAGCCTCTCTGCTGAGAAGGTGCCTCTGATTTCATGATGAAAGTTGTTGCTTTCGCTCCATCCTTGTCAGAAAGGTCTGAATGCCTCCTGCCAGCAGACAACTTTTCTGTGTCTGTACAGAGCCATCAGATCCTCTCACTATCTCCTCTCTGTCATGATAAATATCTTTTCCTCCTTAAATCTTACAGTGTAAGTCTTGCAGCCCAGCTATGGCTTCTGCTTGCAGCTCCCTTTTGAAATCCCTCTGCTATTTTTATGTCTTTCATGGTGATGGATGTGGCTCAGAAATTAATTCCTCTGGACAAGATGAGAAAACGAGGTGGAGTGTGGTCCTGTGGAGATCAGATATGGATAAAGATGTTCCTTGGGTACGGTCTGTCCTGGCTGAGGCTGGGAAGGTGACTAGACCAAACCTGACATCCCATTCAGCCTGCTTTTCTGTGCCTCTGTGCAACCATTTTGGTGTAGTGAACAACAACAAAAAACATAGAAAGGAACTGTCTGAAAATACATTATGTGCTCTTGCTTCTTTTTTTCCCTTTCCCACTATGGCTATGGAGGGGCCAGCAGGTCATTTGATGTCTTGCTGGTGCCTTTTCTCTGTCTCTGAGGTGGATGACAGCAGATGACTCACAGGGATGTTACTTTTTGCCAAGTTTCTTTTGGAGTCACGTACAGAGGCGAACACCTTTTCTTGAGATGGCAACCTCAGTGCAGATCGTAATCAAGAAGCATCACCACCGTTGGGTCTGTACACGCAGCCCGCTGCCACAAGGATGGTTGCCATCAGATTTACTGGAAAAGTGAGACCTTTCACCTTCACGGGAAACATGCCTGAAGGGAGACATTCCCAAGTGTTTCCAAAACACCTTTTCTCATTTCCTAGCTATTCTCTTCTGCTAGACCGCATTGGGGTAAACACCTTTTATCTCACTGATGTTGAGTGTTATAATCCAGACTCCACCAGAGTATGTGCAGTGATGACTTTTAACTTTGGGAGATTTGGCCAAAGCCTTTACTTTTCTGTCAACATCTCCTATAACCCCCTCTCCCAAAAATTCACACCGTGAGAAGAACTTAGAAGTTTCCACTGTTAAGAGCTGGAGCTTGATGATAAGGGATGTTTCAGCAGCAATCTTGGGGTTGAAAGCTTGAGTAGACACTACAGCAATGTATAGAAAATTTATTATACTCAGATAGCTGCACCACTTTTGACTTGGCTTAGTTTGATGTGGGTAAATCCATCAGTATTTTCTGTGTTGCATTAAGTAGTTGCTGCAAAACATGAAATTTCAGCTTTTTAGAATTTGGGATTTGTCGCAACAAAGTAGTGTTACCATACTGGCTTTGCCACCACTGGCTTAACATGCTCTATTGCTGGCAGTGGCTGCCTGCTTTTATTTTAGAAGGATGAAGGATCTCAAAGGAGAAGTTTTGCTCTAGTTTATAGAATTGTTCCCGTTTCAGAACAAAACTTTTACCGTTCTGGAGCAGTTAGGGCCATCACTAGGCAGAATTTCATGGATTTCCAGACCTGAAACGTTCTTTGATGTATAAATTATGGGACTTGGTGAGCCCAGAGCATCGTGCAGGCTTGTGCTGACATGAAATAAGTTAGGAGAAAAACCTTGGTATTTTGTAAAAATGTTGTTGACAAATCATTAGTTTGAGCTTCAAAAGATGCTGGGATAGAAGTGGAATTTTTTTTTTGATGTCGCGGGCAGAAAAAAAGTAAAAAAAATATTGGCTTGTCCCACATCTTATATGGCCTGAATCAGAAATGGGCAGAAGTCAGGAGTTTGCAGCTGTGATACAGGAATTTCATTTATCATCAAAAGCAGAAAGAGCTCCTTCATGCTGAGATCAGAACTGGGCTAACTGCACCATTTCCTTGTCCAGCCTTTTTTAGGGTGTTCCAGGGCCTGGGAGCTGTGATTTATTCCATCACTTTACCCCAGCCCTGGCATGTGGATCATGATGGGGCCAGGTCACAGGGCTTTTTTCTCTTTTGACCTGCACTTGTTCACCATCAGGCTCAAAAGTGTCCTGGCCTCAAGTACAGCAGCGATGATGCTGATAAAGGAAGCAATCAAGGCAATGTTTGAGGGTTGGTATATATTTTTTAAGATTATTGATGTATTTGAGATAATCAGACAGCTTTCAGTGATGCGAGGTCCTTTTCATGTCTGGAATAGCAGCACCAGACTTCAAAGCAAGGTGTAGGATGAGCACAGCTTCTCACAACTTGAGCTGATCAAGTCCAGATCATTTCCAAAATAAAACCTAGTGGGTATTTGTAGGTTTAGGTGTGTTGTTAAACACAGAGAAAACAGTGCTAAGTTAGTAATCTTTGGGGGCACAGAGAAAGGTAATTATTCTAACCCAAACTTTTCTATTATTTCTAGAATATATCTACATGCACTTAGAGAACATGTGCATGAGTATATTTATGTGATGCGCATAAAAATATTTTGTTGTTATGACCTGTAATTATCAATCTGTTATACATAACTACCCTGTATAACATTCTGTATTTATAATCCTTAAGAAACTTGCTGATATATTGATCTACTTTCTACCACATTGCTAGTTGCATTTCTGAACTGGTGGAAAACCAAAATGTCCATGGTAGCGCTCAAAAGGATTAGCGCTTCATTTAATTTTTATTTAATAACAGCATTGTCCCAACTGCCAAGGCTGCTCCAGACAACTTGCTGTCTTTCCATCAGCACCAGCAGAGCTGCTCCAGCCAAGCACTTGGCCTGGATGCATCTGGGAGGTGCCAGGGCACGCCCTTGAACCAGTGCTGTGATGGGCACATGCTCCAAAACTCGGCACCCTGACCATCAGCTGTGATGGTGGGGAGGCCCTGGTGCTGGTTGCCCAGAGAAGCTGTGGCTGCCCCCTTCCTTGAAGTGTTCCAGGCCAGTTTGGAGCAGCCTGGTCTAGTGGAAAGGTGCATCTCCATGTTGTACCCATGACCGGTGAGTAAGGAGATGGAATGGAGAAGCAAAGCTGGAAACAGGACGTGTGTGTCCAGAGGCAATGACACAAGGAAGTTTAGGACAGTGGCTCCATCGCTGGGCAGTGGAACTGGGGATGGGAGCAAGTATGAGCCAGGGGCACAGGCAGGGAGCAGAGCAACTGCCCAGAGAGGGTGACTGCTGGAGGGGAGGGGAGAGGGCTACAATTGGTAACAGATGCCCTCAGAAGCTAATGACCTGACAAACGCTGCACTCATAAAACAAATTCTTTAAAAAGGAAGCAAATGGAAATATAAGCTAGTGAAAGAATTTGCAGCAGCTGCCCTGAAACCATTTCTCACTTCATAAACAGGTCTGCATTGAAAAAACAGCCCCTTTCTTCTTGTTCTCCTTTGTGGTCCCCTCTGTGCCCACCGGCTCTTTCAGGGCTGTGGCCTGCAGGTTTCCACCATGTCTTTGGCTCGGTGGACTTGTCCAGAGTCAACAGCACATTGCATTCCCTTAACGTCTGTGTCGGCAGTGATTTGGGTTTTTTTGGGGTTTGTTTTTTCTGTTTTTTGGGTTTTTGTTGGGTTTTCTGTGTGCATGTCTTTTGTGGTATTTCTAGCTCTGTGCATCCTTGGCTGGAAATGTTGAGTAAAGGCTGGAGGCAGAGGCCTCTGCCTCGCTGGGAGAAAGGCAGTGCCTGAAAACAGCTGGCAGCTCTGTGCCAAGCAGGGAGCAGAGGAGAGGGAGGCATCAGGTACAGCTCCCTCCCTTCTCCCCAGTTATTGCCTGAAGCTGCAGCACCTCTGTCCCTGGCTGAGATCAGGTGTTGCACCTATATCGCTCGGTAACAGATAAAGCCAGACTGATGGATAACCAGGGAGCTGTTGTATTGCCCTATGTCTTTTCCCAATTCCATCCCAGGGAATTAATCGACTGGCTGCATTTCACTGATCGAGATTATAACCCTTTGACCAACACTGGTTCTCATTATGGAGTTGTGATGCTTAAATAATCAGTACCTAATGACTGCTCCTCAGTGGGAAACTGCTGAAGTGAGGAGGTGATGTGGCTGATGCATTGCAAACCAAGGAATGGGTGATGCATTTCAGACTTTCCTGGGACCTCTGGTAACTTGCAGCAGTGCTGAAGGGAAGGTTATTCCCCCATTTAGCTACATCTCACCTTGGTGGCCACCACTGAGGCTGTAGAGCTGGACAGATGTCTGTTGAGATGGCCTTGATCCCAAAGAGCCTGGCACCCCTGGCTTGGGATGCTGTGTTGGCCTGTGGGGAGAGCAGAGGTGCTGAAGACCATCAGAGCAGAGGGGGAAGGTGACAGGAGTGGGGTTGAGGAGGCAGTTGTATATCCAGCTTCTCCCTTCCACCACAGGCTGTGGTGTAGCTGTATGGATGTGAAAGGGGACTGCACAGGATCTGAAGAACATCTCATGGATGATTCCCTAATATTTGCAGAGGTTTCCTCTTAGTTGCAGTTGGAGAATCAACTGTGAAGTCTCCAGTGTCCTATATAGAGTTTGACATACCTGATTCTAAAGTTATACAAAGGTATTCCTTCTGCCTTCCCTCTCCTTGTCACCTCCCTCCTTTTGTTCTCTTGGTCTACCTGCAATGAGCCCCTTTGGTGTCGGGGCTGTGTGCACACTCTGTGCCTGTGGACAGGTAGCACAAATTTTGGAATGTTGTTGAGCTGTGCCTCCTTTTATCAGCTTGAAAGAACATGGTAATGGTTGGTGGGAAGGTGTGGGCTGAGGTTGGGATGAAGTCCAGCTAAGACAGAGATGGGATAAAGTGCTCTCCTGGCATCATTGTCAGGAGACTTCAAGCCTGGAAGAAGCTGAAGCTATGAGGGATAGGTGTGCATCTCTAGGTATCTGTGACCTGCTGAGCGTTCACTCCACACAAGTGCCACCTAGATAGAGCCCTTGCTTGCTGAAGTAGTCCTGGGACCCACTGGTCGATCCCTTCTCTATTCTCCTCCACAGCTGTACCCACGGAGCCTGCGTGGGATTGGGAATCTGCACGCAGCCACTGCTTGCTCATGCTGCCACCCTCAACTGTAGCTTGGATGGCCCAAGGCACATGATGTGTGCTGTTTCCTGTGAGAAGGGCTTCGTCCTCCACTCCAGTGGTGGGAAGAGGCTGGGCTCCTGGCAGGTGAGTGGGCCTCAGGATGGCCCATGGGACCAAGACCTAGATAAAAAAGATTTAACCACCCTGAGGTGGTTGGAGAGAGCACAGACCACTTCGTTCCTCCAGCCCCAAACATTCTGCTGCTTTCCCAGCACATCCCAGCTCAGTGAAACTCCAGTGCTGGACCCCTGTGCTCATGACTGGTGTTCCAGCTCTGGAGATCCCTCTCTTTCCCTTGCTGCAGTCCTAGTTCTCCCAGTCCAGTGTTGTCTGCAGAGCACAGCTCTGCCAGGCTGAAAGCTTCTGCAGGGCATGTCCCAAGTCAAGGTGATGCACTCCAGCAGAAGGAGAGGTAGATATTTCTGCTCCCTAGATGGGCATTGCTTGGAGGGTTAAACATCCCTGGGATGTTTTCTCTCTTAAAGCTGAAGTTAGTGGCTCAGGAAAAAATGAAGTCATTGCAGAGCAACTATATTTAGAGGGAGCTGAGAGCATGGAGCGCTTTTCTTCCTTTGTGTTGTGTTGCAATAATGGCACAGAGGTCACTGTGAAAGAGTTTGTCCCACTTTCCAGAGGGTTGGGGGTTACCTCATAAAAGCCAGGAGCCAGCACAGCTCTTAGCTATTGACTGAGGAGACCTGGGATGATGTGTCCTTGGGAACTGAGCTGCCTTGGTCCAGGCAGTCCCCTTGGCAGGGGTGTAGGCACACAGTGTCCTGTCCTTAGGCTGTTTCTGGAGGGGGGAACAGGAGTCTCTGGGGCTGGGCTGCTCTACATGCCAGACCGAGTGAGGCCGTGAACTTGCTTGGGGCAGACAGACAAAGCTGGGCCATGTCAGGAGGGTGGCATTTCCTCTCCTTGGAGATCTGCTGGTGACACCTGGCAGGCGGGTTCCCCGTGCTGAAGGGTGGCCCAAGGAGAGGTGGAGACTGGGAAGTGCAGTAGGGAAGCTGGAGATGCAGTGCTCACCACTGGGAGGTTATTAATTACATGGCCACTGGGTCTGTGGGCCAAGGCCTGCCCAGGGAAAACAGAATGTTCCCATGCTCCGAAATGAAACCGCACAAAATGAATCTGCCCGGAGTGACAGTTTTCCTGTGTTTGGCAGTGAGATGGGAAACTTCTGAACAGAGTTTTACCAAGTGGCTGTCCCAGCAGAGCTGCCTTGCCCTGAGCCCTCCAGTGGTATTACAGTGATGTCTGGCTTGTAATCCTATTTAGGAAAATGCACACAGCTCTTCTCCTGAGCATCCTCTCCAGCTAGTTCAGCTACACGATGATCCTGCTGCACACTTGAGAGTGCCAGACTCAAATTTAGTGATGTCCTTCAGAGCCACCACATCCAGATTCAATCAAAACGTGCTGGTTGAGATGATAGGTCATGTGTTCCGCTGTACCAGTAGTGTCCCTTCAGTGAGGGGACATCAGGGATACTGGTCTGCAGCCCCTGGCTGAGGGCTGCTGGGCTGGGTTTAGCAGTTTGGGAATGGAAAACACAGAACAATTGGGGTTGGAAGGGACCTTTAAAAGGTCACTCAGTCCAACCCCCCTCATTGTGGCTAGGAGCACCTTCCACTACACCAAGTTGCTCATAGCAAACCATCCACCACTCAATTTTGATAAAGTCTGTAGTATATGTTGACCATATTTAATGGTGGGAACATGGTGGTTTTTGATCTTGGGCAGTTCCCCAGCTGAGTAAGACGGGCTGTATAAGTAGGATTTGTAAATGAGGTTATATGATTTCAATGGGGTCTGTGGGCTGAGGCATGAGGGAATAGGTACATTTAGGGCAAAACTATCAACAGAAGAGCTCTCTGACAACAGTTGAAGTAAAACTTTATCTTTTAGTGGAGGAAATTGTAGGACATACAGCTGAAAATAGCTTAGCTCAAGAGGTTTCAGTGAATCTTGAAGGGATTTTCCTTTTTTCCCTAATGGGGACTGGTACTGCCATGACAATGTAACATGCACAGTGGCTGGATTGCTACCCCAAGGCACATTTGTTGCTCTCACACCCCACATGTCTGCCTGTGAACAGATCAGGGCTTTGTGATTCATTGTCCAGAGTGGGGAGAAGGGGCACAGTGAGAGAGGAAAAATGTTGGAGAGTTCTCCTCATCCTGAAACCTAGGTTGGACCTTTCTGCTGTGGTGGCAGAGGTGTAGATCAAAGCTGTGTTCAGGAGTCTGATGGAGCTTTGCTTTTTCTGCAGCAGGAGGTGGTGCTGACGTGCCGTTCAGGACAGTGGGACAGATCTGTGACTTGTGACCCTGTTGACTGCCATGTCCCTGACCAGTCCCACGTGTCCTATGCCGAGTTCTCCTGCCCTCTGGGGACCACCTACCTGCAGAGATGCTCCTTCTCCTGCATCCCCCCAGCCAAACTTCAAGGTATGGTCTAGAGTGTCAAGACATTTCACCGCCCTTCTTGATGCCACCTTTCTGTGCCTGTCTCAAGCAGTTCAAACAGAATTTGGAATTTCTCACTTATCCTGGATTTGCCAGCTGATTGAGCTCGAGATACTTCCCTAAATGATGAGTATCCCTCCCCCTGGAACAGAGACATCCTAGTGTAGGAATAATTCCCTCTGACTCCCATCCCCTGGCAGGCAGCCCTTATCCATCCACCTCAGGGTGTAAGTGATGTCCCCTCCTGATAATTGCTCCAGCCTCCAGTATTACAGTGATGGAGACAAGAAACATGCAGGCAGACAGAGGGGACTTCAGAGAGCTAGCAGTGGCTCTGTGCCTGGTGGCTGTGGGAAAGCCTGTGGTTCAGGGGGCTAGGGCTGTATAGAGCCATAGAGACTGATGCCCACAGCTGTAGAGCAGTCTGGGAGATGTTCACCACCCAGACACACCATGGCCTGGCTTTCATTCTGCCGACTCCATCAGTAGCCACAGGAATTTTTTAAGCCAAGTCAGAGAAAGAGAGCTACTGTTCTGTCTATGCAAGGGCTGAGCTGGATGGGATTTCAGGGGTAATTGCCTTGACAGCTTCAAGCATTGAGACTTTGTGAGTTTCCACCAGTGCCTTTGCTGTGAAAAAATCGCATACAACAAATCATTTTAATGGGTGCCCTACTTTATGGAGACATTTATAGCTGAAATGTATGAGAATTGTTTACTTATTGTAGAAAAAGCCCCATTAAATCTAAGGATCAAAAACTGCAGAGAATTAAGGTTTCATTTCATGATAGGGAGAATGGTGGCAGATCCCCAGTGTGGGCTGATCAATGGGTAGCACACCAGTGTCATCTCAACAACACAAATTCTGCATGAATTGGTGCCCGTTGCCTTGGGTTGGTCAACTGAGGGCAGAGGTTTGATCTGGTCTTGCACTCACAGCTGCCTCTTGGTCCTGCTGCAGTCCCTGGGAGGTTGCCATGGGCTCCCTCCGTGGGAAGGCATCCCCTCCGTGGGCCCTGGGGTGACTTCCAGCATGATGGACTCAGCCAAGGCTGCCAAGCCATGTGGGCAAACTCTTACAGTCCAGCTGACACAACTGAGGCACTGAGGCAGGGACATGCTCTGTGCTTGTTCCCACTAAGACTTGCATCCTTACAAGCAAGCTGTCAATGCTAACAAATGCTAAGAGTAGACAAGGAAAGGATGGCATGGCTGTGTGACACTTGGAGGTGGGAGACAGCCTTGACCCATCAGGAACACAGGCACTGAGTAGAGATGTGATCTTGTCTCTGTCCCCAGAAGTGTTTCTGTAAAAAGAAAGGGATGTTTGAAGGAACTGTAGAGCAGCCTGGCTGCACCACAAACATGCTGATCCAAACCTCTCACTAGGAAGAGTCCCATTCACTCCAGTCCAGCTTTTTTTCTTGCTCATCAGTTCCCAATGAACTATCCATCATCCACACCATGCAGGTGATGTAGTCTTGGGCACTTCCTGACAGCATCCAGAGCTGTGCAGTTTTGGCCAGCCATCTAGCTGGGTCTGTCAGGGACAACAAAGAGCTGGGCTGTAATACTCAACCCAGACCTCTAGTGATGGGTGGTTTGAATTCCCAGACACACTAGTGAAGCCTTCCACATCTGTCCTTCTGGCATTTTTCATCCTCCTGACTCTCAGGTTTCCCAGAGAGGTGATGGATTCTCTATCCCTGGAAACACTGAAAGCCAGGTTGGGCAGGGCTCTGAGCTGCCTGACCTGCTGGAAGATGTCCCTGTCCATGGCAGAGGGAGGTTGGACTAGATGCCATTTCCAGCCCAAATCATTCCATGATTCTGTGATCTTGCACTGCATCTGTAGTAGGGTATGACAGCTTGATCAGCATAGCTAAGGACAAGCTGCAAAAAGCCCTTGTGGAGAATGAAGTTGGGCTGAGCTGAATACAACAGAGAGCTGTCCTACAATAAGGCCCCTGGCTATCCTGAGGCACCACAAAAGAGGGCAAGTTTAAGGGAAATATTTGGAGAGCTTTGCAGAATCAAGATCCTTTCTGCAGCTTCTAGAAGCTGACCCTGCCATTTTTTTTTGCATTTAAGTATTTTCTGCTTCAGCCTGACCAAGCAGGCGATGGAGCCCGTGCTCTTTGTTCTTGCTGCCCCTTTTGGTATCCGTGTACGCTCTAACAAGAGGACTTCTGCTGGTTGCTCTGAGCTCCCCTCGGCAGGACTCCATTCCTGGCTCTGATGTAACCCCTCATGCTGTTCTCTTTTGGGGTCAGGAACAAACCAGTGGCTCACCTGCCTGGAGGATGGTCTCTGGTCCCTGCCTGAGGCATACTGCAAGCTGGAGTGCGCCGCGCCTCCGGCCGTGGCCAACGCGCGGCTCCTGGTGCCTCGGTGCCTGCAGGGCAGCCACGACGTGGGCTCGGTCTGTCGCTACAAGTGCAAGCCTGGATACCACGTGGCCGAGAACACAGCAGACAAGCCTAAGAGGTAAGTCTGTGGCAGGTCTGTTATCACTGTTTCTTTCCTCCTCCCAGTGTGCACAAGGAGCAGAGGTGATAGCACAGTGGCAGTCTCGAAGACCTGATTTGATAGGTAGAAGGCAGAGCAGCTTGCTCTGATCTCACAGATTTCTTGAAATACAAGAGGCATTCCCAGGTCTAGGTGAACCTGGTGGGAACCAGGTGCTGTTGCACACACGAGTGTGTTAAAGTACTTTAACCTGAAACAAGCAGATCTTCCTGTGCACTTCAATGTATTTGTCACTCTGTGAAAGCTAAGCACCAAATTAAGTGTTTGCAGACTCCCAGGTAATTAGACATTTACAAGATGCTGGCAGATTCCTGCAGCTTCTGTCTTTCCTAAAAGCGATAAAACATAGAACAGAGGCACTGCAAGAATGAGTGGCTGCCTTCTGTCAGGGTTAATATCTCACCCGCTGTGCCTCTTGGCTAAATTTAATCTCTAGCATTGGCATTTCAATGGGAGAAGATTTTTCCTGATGCTTCGGGAAAAAATTCCTGGTGGTTCGCTAGCCCTGCTCTCAGCCAATATCGTGATGCTGGGGGATGAAGCAGCGTTTTGTCTGTGATGCCTCCAGCAAAAGTCCCCATTGGGTTTGGTCACTAAAGATTCCCTGGCACTGACTGGGTCCTCCCCAGAGTCTTGATTCTAGCCCAGATCAGGTAATTATGTGTTAATTGTTTAATGCCCCCTTCCAGTTTTAATTGGACGCAGACTTCATCTCTTCTTTGCTCTGGGGTAGAGTTGTTGTACAGTGGGAAGCAGTTGCCAAATTTCTTGCCTAGTAATGAAGGAAGTGGTTTCTGTAAACAGCTTTTCACAGTGCTAGGAGCATTTCTTGGGCCAAAGGGAGCTGAGCAAATGATGATTATGGCAGCGATCACATGGACTGCTTTGCAAACTCTAGAGCAGCTTTTGTGCCTGTGGCACTTTCAGGCACTGGGCATTCAAACAGATCCACTCAGCTTGCAAAGTTAGGCCCCCTCTGTCCTTCTGTAGCAACTGCTGGTGAAAATGATCACCCCTGGGAGATCTTGAGGCTCCTCTGATGTGTGAGTAACTTCCATATGGGTCTGAACAGCCTGTGAGACAAGTCAAGGAAAATCATGCAAAGTGGTTTACGTTTTCATCGTAATGCATGTTGACATCGCGTTTTCCCCTTTGCAATTGTCACTGCTGCTATTTCATCGGACGTCTCTGATGGTGGAATGCAAAAACCACATGAACAAAACCAGAAAAAGTATTGCTTTCCTATCATGCAGATTAACTCTTACGTGAGTGGCCCAGCCCAAGCAAAAACCTTTCCTTGGACTTGTAAATGTCATTGTACGATCTCATCAGGAGCTGTGCACTCAGCATGAGTACAAACCCCTTGGCGTGGTGTAGCAGCTCTTAGCCATCCAGTTCCTGGATTGCTGGAAATCCTTCTGCTATCTCAGCCCTGGCAAGGCGAGGGTGGGAGCTGCCAGAGTGAGAGGTTGGTTTCTTTGATCAAAGAGATTTGGGGATCTCTTTGATCATGCCAGTTTTGGAGAAAGGGAGGAGCTGGGGAGTTCTGGAAGCAACCAGCTCTGGTGAGGTGCAGGTTCCTGATGTGCTGGTGTGAAAGTAGGGTCTGAGCTGCTGATTTGGACATCAGGTTTTTAGGGTCTTCTGCTGTCTCTCTGGGTTCAGAAAACTGTGTTCTTTTTCTGTTGTCTCACTGTTGTCCACCAACCCATCAAGCACAAGCCTTGCTAAAGGGTTTAGTGCCATACTGGTGTCTAGGTACATAAAGAAGCAAGAGTTTCTATGTGTACTATATATTGGGCAAAAGGCAAGCCTAATCTGTGACTGACACTGAGGATTCCTCATGCCCACTAACTAACTCACCCTTGGAAATACAGTCAGGCTTCTTTTGAATTATTCTTCTAGCTCTAGCTTTGTTCCTCATGTGGAGTTGCCCACCTTATGCAGGCCTGAACCATGGTTGGGATCCAGCTGTCTCCATGCAAGTGAAGATAATCCTGGACACAGATGTTCATGCAATTACCTCACTTCTGGTTTTATTTGAATTTTACTGCAGGAGCAGTAGGGATGCTTAGAAGGGGCTGAGGACATAGTTGAAAATAATTTCCCACAATTTAAGTGGAAGAGAAAGGGGATGAAGAAATCAGTTGTCCTGGAGATGCTTTTGTCTGTTAACCTGGGTGAGGGAAAAAAGGCCCTTGGGAAATCATTGCTTGTCAACAAGGGATCCTTGAGGAAATACGGATTGTGTAATCAAGATCCTGCCAGAAACTCGCAGCCTTCCTGCTGGCAGGTTCATCTGAGTGACAATGCTGACATGAAGGGTAAAGCTTCTTTGATTCTTCCTAAGGGAGATCTGTTATCAGCCTGGAGAGGCCACCTAACAGCCTGGCTTCCAGCTGCCAGGCTACTTCACTCTAATTCCAATGTAAGGGTAACAAGGGGAACGTAACATGTGCATTTGTGCTTTGTGATGGGAGCTTTCTGGGTTTAGGCAGAACCTGTGCCATGGCAGTACCAACCCACCACCTGGATCACACAAAGATCTGAACTGTTAAGGAGAAATGTTCAGCATCATTCAGAGCTGTAGCATTGAAAAGTGCTGGCCAGAAAGTCAGGGGTCGGATACTCTGGGGGAAAGGGCATCACCCCTACAATGCTCCTTGCTGTTGCTTCCAGCATGAAGTGTCATCTGAAGCAGATCTCTGACAGGAATAGACAAGGTCAGGTTGGATGGGGCTTGGAGAAACTTCATCTAGTAGGTGTCCCTGTCCATGGCAGGGGGGTTGGAACAAGATGATTTTTAAGGTCCCTTCCAAGCCAAAACAATTCCATGGTTCTGTGATAATAGCTAGGAGATCTTTAGAGGAACACTCTAATGTTGAGAAGATGCTCTCAGTTTGGGGATTTAAAAGGTCAGACCCTTCAGGGGACTTGTTTCACTTGCCAGATGTGGCATGATTCCTTGGAGAGAAGAGATTTGGGGATCTTGAAGCTGCCTTTATGAAGGGTTGAGCTCCTTCTGCTAGCTTGAGGAAATGAAACAAAGAACCACTTTGGTATTTTCAGGCAGATTTGAAAGTCTCAGCCTGCATTTTGACCAGAGATCAAGGGAGCCCAGCAGAGTCCCCAGTCAACTTCCATGGAGATGTTGGCCCCTCTTCCTTCTCTCCAGGTTCAAAATCAGCAGAGACCATGGAAGAAGGAGAGGAGGTAGAAGAATGTGGAGGAGAAAATGGGGACTGGAAGGAGTTAGCAGGCTGGGGACTGGGAACAAAACAAAGTTCACAGCAGGGTAAGCAGGACAGCCTAATCCAGGGGCACCAGGCACACGTGCTGTGGGCATAAAGGCACTCACTGCCTCTGCCTGTATCTGGCCTCTTCCAGATAAAGGGCAAACACACACAGCTGTGGGAGCCAAAGAGCCAGGTAAAGAAAATCCAGGCTGTCAACCATGTTTCTGTCACTTCCACCTTTAAGATTTCTGAGCATTTACAGCCCAGGTTGTCCAGGCTGTTTGGAGGGAGCACAGCAGTGGCAGGTCCTACATGTTGGTGCATCTTTTTTTCCAATTTACTGGCAAATCTCTCCTTTCCCCCTATTCTTTATGAAGCCATCAGTTTTCTGCCATAGTAGATGAGGCTTTAGGCTCATTTGTCACCATTCCTGCACAGCAAACCCACTCTCCCCCAAGCTGCCTGCCTCAGAAGATGGTTGGATCCCTGCATGTTCAGCTCCTGGAGCCTGGCATGTGCTTGTGCCTTCACCTCAGATACAGCCCTTGCTGGCCTCAAACATCTCCCTTGCCTCCTCTGTCCATTAGGCTGGCCTGGTTGGAGGGTTGACTCCGATTTTCCTGGCTTCCTTGTTAATCCTCAAGAAGTGCCACTAGCCCAGATCAGAAGAAGAAGCTGGGGGTGGGTCCAGAAATTTCAAGTTCCTGTGAAGTTGTATGTATTTATGTATATACTTTTTTTTTTTTTTTTTTTTTAAAGCCTCTCCTTTCCCTTCTCCATGCTTCCACATGAACTGCTTATTTCACATATGTGGGAGTGGTCCATACCCCACCCTCTACCCTGGGGTCAGCCTGGGCTAACTGTGTTTGAAGTCCCTGGGTGGATGCTGAGCCTCCAGAGCAAGGTGGTCTGAGGGGTGCAGGTTTGGGGGAGAGCTGTGAGAGGCCATGCACGGCCCTGGCTCTGACTGGGGTCACTGCAGCACCACATCAAAACAAGGAGCCCCTGTGAGGATGATGGGGCTGCAAACCACAGCTGCACCTGAGCAAACTGCAGCTGCCACAGCGCATCCTCCCCGTGCTGGACCCATCTCCCCAGGCCTCCCTGGGCACGGGGCCTCTGCCATGATTTGGAGAGCAACAGGGAGGTGCAGTGGCCAGTGGAAAGTCGTGTGTGGCTGGGGTGCTCCTGGTCTTTAAAGGAGTTTGCTCAGTGCCTGAGGTATTGCTGTCTCAGTGACTTCACACTAGCAGTTTGTGTCTATCTCCATAACCCCCGGTGCTTTACCCTTTCCAAGTCTGGCAGCTGGGTCAGGAGCCAGGAAGTTCAAGAAGGGGAAAATGCTGCTTGTGGAGCTGGACATCCAACATGGATTAGTACCTCTTGGCGTGTGCCTTTGCTTTAAACTTGGGCAGGGCAAAGCATTCAGTAATATTTGGGAGAAGGCAAAGTCTGATGGGGACATGTTTGCAAGGCAGTGACTACCACCCTCTTGGAAAGGGAAGGCAAACAAGAAAATTAAATGAGGAATGGACTGAAACCACAGATGCCTACAATGGCATCCAGAGTCCCTCCTCCTCACCAGCTTTCTGAAATACTTCATGGCTGCAGTTCCCTTAGTTAATTCAAGGCTGCTGCTGTAGGGGTGATATTGTGGCAGCCCTCAGGTTGGAGGTGCTCAGGTGCTCACATCACAGCCATCCTCGCTTCTCAGGTGGGCTGGAGGGAAGATTTGTACACAGCTCTGTGCCAGTGAACTTGCTACATCCCATTCCCTACCCTGCCTGCCTCAGTGTTACCTGCTGGAGCCTGCATTCACCCTGGGAGAAACCCACTGTCCCTTTATACAGTCTTGAGAAAAAACAGATCCCTGATTTCTGAAGGCAGAAGGGGACTCTCCAAGAGCTGCAAATATTTTAAAATATTAGAATGCTGCAAAAACCTCTAAAATGTCTCATCCAGGAGTTCCCAGCAGAAATCTGACAGGGGACACCCCTGCTCTGGCAGCAGAGTGCAAATGGGGTTCCCTTGCTTCTCCAGGCTGTGCGACCCTGTACCATGTGTGGAGGCACAGCTGGGTGGCCCCACACAATGTCACGACCCTGCACCAGGTGTTAAGGGGCACATGGGTGGCCTCACACTCTGTCTGCTGCCTCTCAGAACAAGGGGCAATTTAGTGCCTTCCCCCAGGGGTTTCTCTAACCCCTGGTGGCCCCCTCCACATACCTGTGGCAGGCTATAAACTCCCTAACGTGGCGCCTGGAGCCCTGCCTGCTGGCACCCGTGGTGGGAGAGGGCAGGGGCAGGCAGCTGCAGTGTGCTGCCTAGTAAAGGGGGACAGGAGTGGGGGGAAAAGTCTCATTAAGGATGGAGCAATCAGCCTTGACTCTGGTAAAGCCCATCAGGGCAGTGATGTGTCCTCTGCTGAGAGAGCAGTGCTTGGCCAGCCTGATGCCTCACCAGTTTTGATGTCTCTGTGTAAAAGATGTGGTGTCTCTATCACTGCCAGGGACAGGAGACTTAAAAGTGGGTGGGCTCCACTCCTGGGCTTTTTCTTGCTTTCTTTTCTTGGCAAGTAGCTCGTGTCTGGGCTGTTTTAGCAGCATAGGGTGGTACTGGTCTGCTGCAGCACGGCAGCCCCTTGGCGAGAGCAGGATTGACAGATGTGGCTGGAGTACAAAGAGGAGCCTCAGGAGTAGCTGGGCACAGGCCAGAGGATTTACTGGTGGAGGTAAACTCCATCCAGCAAAGTATGCAGCTACTGGCTGTGGGGCAAAGCAGACCAGGGCCTGCAAGGACTGTGGGAGGAATGGTTTAGGGGCACCACAAGAGGTGGGGAGCAGCGTGGTGGTGAGTGCAAGGGAAATGCATCAAGTGCTCCTAGACCAGTGCAATCCCCCCAGGGAGGAGAAGAAAAGGTCTTGGTTAAGCTTGGGGTGCCCCTTTGGAAGATGTGGCCATGGTGAGGGATTGTATGGTATGGGAAAGTCCTACACAGAGGGGGGAATGATTGTGCTCCAGGAGAGATGTTTTCAGTCTGCTCCTGACATCTGTGGGATGCCTGGTGCAGCCAGGGTGCAGTGTTTGGGGTTCTGCAGGCCAGTCTGGTGTCTGTGTTTCCCCAGGAAGTTCCTGAAGGTCCAGTGCCTGGAGAGTGGGCAGTGGGAAGAGGGACACTGTGTCCCTGTGGTTTGCAAGCCCCCGCCCCCCGTCTTTGAGGGCATGTACAACTGCACCCAGGGCTTCGAGCTGGACAGCCAGTGTGTCCTCAACTGCGAGCAGCAGGGACAGCAGGTGAGTGGCTGGGGGGAGACACACATGGACCACACCTCATGCTTCAGAGCATCTACAAAGTGCAGGGCTCCCTGTGCCCTGCTGTGCAGGGGCCCTGCAACAGTTTGACCTATCCCCAAGGCCAAATACCCTTTAACCACCAAGGAGCAGCCCCTCTACAAGCCCAAAGCTGGTCTTGCTGGGCCCCATACATGGCGCAAGGTGCAGCACTGCCTGGGGATGCTCACTTGCTCCTGGAAAGCAGTGGTCCTAAATAAGCTGGCTTATCTTGTGTGAAGTCAGAAAGCATAAGTAGGGGGTTTCCAGTAGGTTTTGAGAGCTGCTGTGAAAGCATTCACTTGGGATGATGGGCAAGCTTGCTGTAGTGGTTGTGCTCACCAAGGAGCTTCCCTGGGCATGGAGGCTGCTGCCTGCCAGCCCTCCCACCCAGGTATCTTATCACTGCTTGGAAAGGGAACACTTCTTGTCAAAAGAAGTGTAGCTGATTCCCTCTGGTGGGATCCAGCAGATGCTGGGAAGGAATTGGCTTTGTGGACAGTGCACATAGGCTGGACCAGACGGCTGCAGCCCAGCTGCCTTGGGGAACTTTCCTCTGGATGTGGCTGGTGGGAGGGGTGTCCTCGCACGGTGCTGCCCCAGAGATGGGCAGTGGGCAGGCAGGGCAAGTAACACCAGCTGCTGTCCCTCTGCTTTGCAGGTTCCCATCGTCTGCACGAAGGAGGGCTTGTGGACAGAGGAGTTCAAACTGTGTGAGAGCTTGCAGGGCACCTGCCCACCACCCCCGGAGCTGAATTTCGTGGAGTACAAGTGTGAGCAGGGGCATGGCATAGGTGAGGGAAGATGAAAACCAAACAGAAAACCAAACTTTGTGTTGACTCAGTCATCCCAGAGAGTTGATAGTCACAGTAGATTATAGATAGACTCTTCCTGTACCAATCCCCACTTAACAGAAAAAAAAGTCCTGTTTAATCTTCCATGATCTTTATAAACACAGAGCCAGGGGTGGTTTTGGCCTTGTGCTCACCCTGCCTGCACTCTTGGGCAAGACCCAAATCTAAAGCTGTCTCCAGCATTAAGAATCTCTCTTTTCAGAAGCAGCAGGGATTGTCTTTAGGGCAAACCCAGCTGTTCGCACATTTTCCTGATCTGTAAGCCCTCCATCTTTCCTGAGGTCTCTCCACTTGCTGCTACCGCTGCTGTTTGCAGGGTTAATGTGACAAGTCCTAAATAAAAGCCATAAAAGCTGCAGTGACAATTGAGTGTAACAGGGCACTTTCACCAGAGGAGGGACCGCATCATCCATTTCTGTCTGCAGGACCTGGTTGCTTTGTGCTTTCAGGAAAGCCAGCAGCACTCAGCCATGGCTGCTCATCTGGTCTGGCATCTCTCTGGGTAGGATGCTTGAGCTCAGCCCCTATTACTCTGAAGCAAACACACCAGTCATCCCAGTCTGGTCAAACCAGGCTGAGGACAGTCTAATGACAGGGACTACTGAGGTTAAACTCAGGACAGACCTGATGTGAGGCTAGGATTTGGACTGGGATCCCACTTGTTTTTCCAAGGTGATTTTTGCAGCTTTTTTTCTTTTTGGGTCATGGGAAGGCGGTGGGGATTCTCTGTGGTAGAAAAATTAGACACTTCTTAACACGTCAGCAAACATCATATAACATCCAGGCCAAACTTATTTTCATGCTGGGTCCCATGTCCTGCCATCAGGGTTGGAATCTTTGTCTTAGGTTGTGTTCAGTTTTCCTTTCATCTGAGAGAAGAGAACTGGACACAACTCCTGTAGGCTCTTGGATAATTCAGGGTTTGGGAAAGGAATTGCTATCCCAGGCTGGGAGGAAAAAGGTCCCCTCTACATCTGTCTCTACCATTAATGGTGACATCCTACAGGACATCGATGCCTGGCTCCAGGTAAGGCCCTCAAAGCTCTCCCTCCTCCCACAGGTGCTGTGTGCATTCCTTCCTGTGTCATTCCTCCCAGTGACCCCGTCATACTGCCCAAAAATGTCACTGCTGAGACAATGGATCACCGGCTGCAGCCCACCAGAGTCCAGGTAAAAGAGTAGACTAATTCTTCTAGTGGAGGGGTTGCTGGCAGCACAGAGAAGGAACATCCCTCTTTTCCTCCCTCCCTCTCCATCTCCAGAGTGTTTTAACACAAAATCTCTGCCTCAGGTGAAGAAGGGTAAGACTTGTAAGGACAAGTAGTAGATGCTACTACTCCTGCTCTCCTATACCAAAGTTCAGCGTAGTAATCAGCTCCCAAGCCAGCTTTCAAGGAATTGCATGATACCACAATATATGAAGTTTAATGTAAGAATCCCACTGATTTTTCAGGATGTGCTGTGTGCCTAAACCCATTAAGCTACTGTTTATTGTCAGCCAGTGTGCTGGGAGAGCAAAAGCTGGCTCTGGCACAGTGTAAGCCTGGGTCCCCAGTTACCTGGCAGCAGAGATGCAATCCTAGGCAGGCATTCCCCTGCCAAGGAAGAGGCAGGGCACTGTCAGCTGAAAGGTGTCTCCAGCTGCCAGGACCCGCTGGCCAGCCAGGTGCCTCTGCTGCTGGAACAGGGGAGCCTTTCCCTCCCCACCTCTTACTCATTTTGTAGGCAAAGCAGCTCAAATAGCTCGAATAGTTTGGATCCTCGTGGCACAGCTTTACCAAAAAGCAGCTCTACCGGGGTAATATTTCTTAAAATAAAAACGAGATGTATTAGGAAGGAGGTGGAACAAAGAAAAGCAAACAATCTTCCCAGGAGCCAGTGCTCCCATCCAAATGCTTTCCCCTCCTCCTGGGAAGCCGCAGGAGGCCCAGCATCATGCCTGTGGATACTACTGTGCATTGCCTTGAATCAGACCCACGGCGGGCGGTGCCGGGGGGGTGAGGATGCCTGGGGCATGTGGGATGGTTAAGCACGAGCCTTGGAAGGAGTCCTTGCCTTTGAGGGATCGGATGGCTTGGCCCGTTGAGGCAGTGGTGTTCAGCTTCCCTTTCACCACCACTGCAGGCTTTCGTGCAAGGGAGGCATTTTGCAGAGAGGAGGAGGAGGGAGAGGAGACACTATTTTAAGAAGGAGCTCTGTCCTTTGCCAGGAGCTCTCTCCCTAGACCATCTTGTTTTCCTCTCTGTCCTGCCTTCTGTCTCCGCTCCCCACTTGGCTCCCCCAAGCCTCCAACAGTTTGCTGTTCCCGGGAGCTGCCATGCTCCACGAGATGGGGAGGATGGGGCAAACAACACCAGGAACTGCAGGGGCCACTCAGAGAAGGCACAGGCCTGTTTTGCTTTCAGCTCTGATTCATTGCATCCCACAGCTGAGCAGGTTTTTCTCTCTGCCCTTATTTCCCAGCCTGGAATAAGAATATATTAATCTGAGTATGCTAAAATGGCATCTGAGTTGCACAACAGCCTCTTACAAAGCAACTCCGTGGGGTTGGGATGCACACATTCTCTTGGCTGAGCAGGAATTGGTGGGCTCAGGAATTCCCCAGTCTTTGCCCCTTTAGGCTGGCTCTCTGGGATTGCTCTCCCTGTGCTGGCCAAGGAGGGCCAGGACCTCATCCTGCTCCAGCCTCATCACAGTCTTGACCAAAGATGCTGCAGAAGGACCTGCAGCTGCTCTGTGTGGGCAGAGCTGTCCCATCCCTAGCTGCTGTGCCACCTGGGAATGCTGGAGCTATTCTTCCTGCCACTGAACATATCAAAAGAGGCTGGGAGAAAACACACCTATCCCTATGTGCAATTCCCTTGCTGTGAAGGGCATCCTAGGACACTTTCACAGGCCAGATGCTGTTTTATGGGGCCTCAGATTTCAAAGCCTGCCTGAGCTTTACAAGGAGGAAATTGCATGTGCGGTGGGGCTTTTCTTCCCCCTGTGTAATCATGAGTGTTCCCCACAAACCCCAGCTAAATGAGCAGGGCGGTGTGTTCCAGGGCCGGGAAACCGAGCCCTTCTCATCTCACTCTTGTGTCCATCTGGCTGCAACAGCTGAGTTTGTAAATACCACTGAGAACCTCAGAGTGACCGTGAGTCTGGTGTATCTACTTCAAGTCAGGTCTGGGGAGATGAGTCCTCCCAGGATGCAGTTTTCAGAGCCTGAGCAGGGATCACTGAGCCCATTCTAGGCACTGAGTGGTGACCAGCTGGTGAATTCAGCATCACACAGAGAGATGATGGTAGAATCCAGCCCCTTGTGACTTACCCCCAGTGGCAGCTCCCGGCCAAGTCAGGCATTATGGTGACACTGCCAGCTAAACCCATTTCTCAGGTAGTCCTTGTCCTTTCCCTTTGTCCTCTTCCAGTTTTGTATCAATATAGAATTATAGAATCACTAAGGCTGTAAAAAGACTTCCAAGATCAGCAGCTCCAACCAATATACATCTCCATATACACACACACACACGCAGTGTGCCCTGATCTGTGGGTTCCTGGCTGCAGCTACCCTGGGTTTGCAGGGTCTCAACAGGTGCTAAGAGGGTCCTGGGAGTGTCAGTGCTGTTCTGCCCCACAGTGAGTAAGGCAGTGCTGCAGGAGACCCTTTAGCTCCAGAAAGCACTGCTGGCTGTTTCCCTGCCTCATCCACCTCGCCTAAGTGCTGCTTTTTCCCTTCTCTCCCAGAACATCGTGTGCACGGGCAGGCTGCGGTGGTATCCCGACCCCTCTGTCATTCACTGCATCCAGTCGTGTGAGGTAAGCCCTCCCTGTCCCCAGCACAAGCTGCCTGCTCCTTGCAGGAGAGCTCCAGGCAGTGAAGACCTGCTCCAGCACACACCAGACAGCTTTGCCCTTATGTTTGCTTCAAGTTGGGCCAAGGCTTGCTGGATGAGTGGAGACAGCAGAGGAAGCATCCTTGGGTAGAGTCCCCACATCCAGGATGGTGCTGGGGAGCAAGAGCTGCACAATAACCCATTTCCTTCCTTGCCTGCTTCTTTTTGGCCAGCTCGGGCAGAATATTCTAGCAAAAGGATTTCACTGGCAAGGGGTATCCCCCAAAAGCCTGAGCTGACTCCAAGCTGGAATATTTCCCTAACCAGAACCGCAGTTCTAGAGTAACACAGGTCCAGAAAAGCCCTGTGTGACTCACCTGTCCAAATCAAACAATCAGGATTTCCAGCTTTGTATATGCAAAACAAACTGCTTCTGAAGAATCTGCAGACAAAGAATTCCTTGCAGAAATTGGTTAGCCACTCATTTAGATTTGAATAATGACCAGGCAGGAGAAAATCATAGGCAGCCTGGAGTCAGTTCACAAAGGAAATTAAAAATAGGCAGTCTTTGTCAAGTACTAGTTGTTATTATGATTGAGGATAAAAGGAAAAAGGGGGGAAATTTTGGAATGTTGTATGCTGAAAATTTGGGATTTTTACCAAAAAGGAAAATGTAAATGGAGTTTGCACACCAAAAATAGCTTTGGGGTTTGCTGATTGTATTTTTTTTCTTGTGCTCATTTCAATGTGAATGATTGCTTTTCCTTGCTTGTTCTGCTGAGCTCAGCTCTTTGTCAACTGGAGTGTGGGGGAAAGGGCAATGTTGCAGGGGGCACGTCCCCAGGAAGGAAACCTCATGGTCTACAGAAGGTGCAGCAATTATTTCCCAAATTTTATGCTGTGTTGTGCATGTCTACTCCAAGACACAGACAGAAGGAGTAGGGGAATGAGGTGCTGTGTGCCTGAGAGGTGTTTGGTGATTGAGTACCAGAAGTTAGTGATCCTCTGACATTTTGGGAGCTCTGTGTCTTCTAAACCACATCTTTTAGCACAAACCTGGGGTAATGTGTTTGAAATGGGATGGCTTAAGTGGAAGAGCAGACCAGATGGTTGAGTGATTGTCTCTGTGGTGGTTCTGCTAGCAAGAGAGAATTTCTTGTGCTCTCTGGGAGTAGGTCCTTTCAAAAAATAAGCCAATGGAGTGTGAGGTGTTTCTTCTTCCCTTCCTGTGCAGCTCAGGTAACATAAAGCTGCCACAACTGTGAGGCCTCTCCCTTAGGCTCAGGTACACCAGACTGACCCTAGTGTTTTCTCCTCTGTGGCTCCTGTGCTTCACCTTGGCTCTGTGTGTTCAGTGAGAGATCCCATAAGGAATGATGAAAAATGCCAGTTTGTGTGTGTTTGTGTGAAAGAGACACACTGAGTACCTGAAGTCCCAGTGTAAGTCACTGTGTTCTTATCAACCACCCAAACGTGCTCACAGCCAGCATGAGCTTTCTGTTCCTATGTGCTTGTCACCCTCCTTTACTCTTAGAAAGCAGTCCCAGGCAGGACTCTTGGCACACAGGAGATTAATCAAGCCAAAATCTTGCTATGTCCCACCAGAAGATGGAGAGATTCCATGTTCTTCATCACCCTTGTAGACTTTTAAATGCTTTTTCTGCTTTCAATTATTGTTTCATCAGGAATGACCAAGCAGTCAGTACATACTCTTCCATCCAAGGTCTCACCAAAGCCCTGCATAAAGCTTCCTTGTGCTGGAAATGTCTCTTTGATGGGACACAGGACTATATCTGTTGTTTCTGCAGTTGCATCAGTCTGGCAGTTCAGATATCCTGAGGTCAGCAAGTACACCCAGATCTTTCTCTTCCTCCTTTTTTTCCAGCTGATGAGCACCAAGCTAACAGCAGATGTTTTGCTATCAGTACAAGAGCTTGCCTTCAATTTTATACAAGAGAATGTCATCTTGTTTCTCTCTCTAGTCCTTCAGGTCATCTAACTATTTGTTAGATATCCTGATCCTCCTCTGTGGAACAGTGTCTTCCTTGTTAGCAGTTCCATCAGGGCAGACCTATTCTTAAGGTCACAGTCAATCACTGTAGCACTAATGAAGATTCATTCTCAGATAGTTTCTTTCACCCTAATGCTCTCCTTTTTGATACAGCTCCCAGCCTCCTCCTCATCCCTGTTTTCCTTCTCCTCACTTCTCATACATGTCTTGGTTTATTCTTTTCCATGGGTTTCCTCCTATGGTGCTGCAAGCTGTTAAGGTTGGACCAATAATCCAAATTTTCCTAGATTAACTTTTTTTCCCCACATGAGTTTCAAGGTAGTCATTGTCTCACTGTAAAGAGTAACTCTTACTGAAAGTGCTTCAAAGTATTGCTCTGGGAGCTGCTGCTTGGCACTGGCAGGGAGATGTCACCAGTCTCTCCATTTGACCACAGAATACTCTGAATGTTGTTTCTGCCTCATCTGTGCTGACTTCCATCTTCATTCCTATCCTTCTCTGCCCTCCTCCTAGTGAAGAACTCTGCAGTTTTCAGAGGTTCTTGTGGGTATGGAGGCATCACAGCAGGAGCAGGGTAGAGAAAGAATATAACCTGTACTCTGTCCTCACTGCATGGTAGCCCCCTTCACACACATGGTTCAGCTTCATTTGCCATGTCCACGGGTCATATCAGTCCCAGGTTCCCTCTCATTTCATAGAAACCCTTCAGTGGAGACACCTCCTTTAAGAGCCCAGACTCTGCCATCATTGGGCAGTGAAATGCTGTTCCAGTGGACTGTCCATGTCACCTCAGGTCTGAGTCACCCCTTGGAGATTCCATTGTCTCCCCACCGACTGCCAAGTGTGTTTTGGATCTGGAAGTTTTCTCTTCTGGATGCCACAGTGAGGGGAGCAACCCTACACAGCAGAAATCCAGGCCACCTGGCAGCTCGTACTGTCTCTCTCTGGTGGAGTCACTTCAGGCCGGGGCATGGGAGCAGTAGCCAAGGCTCAACCCTCCCAGCTCCATCTGGAGCTCTGCCTCGCATTGGAAAGTCCAGGTCACCGTGCAATGGCATTAGAGGGACTCTCCCTCCCTCCCTGAAGAGGGACCGCATCTTTATCCCATGCTGGCGGTGGATCAGCCTGCCTGCTCATCCCTCTCGCTCCTCTCCCCACCTCCCTTCTCTTTCCGTTAATCTGGTCATCCATCTGCCTCCCGCTCTCTTGCTGTGCCCTGCCAAGTTCCCCAGTGCCGGAGCAGCGAGGCACGTACGTCAGGGAGGGAGGGAGGGAAGCAGGGAGGGGTGCAAACCCTTCCAGGAGCCCGTCAGGAATTCGAGTTAGCGCTGAGCGCGCTTTGCCTTTCGAGGGCCAGCGGAACATCTCGTCCCCTGCCATCAGTAGAAAAACAGATGGCGGCACCAAGGGAGGGGGCTTGGGGCTGTCAGGAGAGGCAAGTGGAGGAGGAGAGAAACACCTCCTCTCCACCATGGGTTGGGAGGAGGTGGTTTTGGTCTCGGTGGTGTGTTTGACTTGCTGTGAGGGAGGTGTTTGCAGCATCTGGGTCACGTTCTCCAAAGCCATCCCAAGGTGATCACCTCTGATGTATCATCCTCCTGTGCTCAAAAGCAAGTGAGACTGTTGACTTCAGAGGAAGAGACAGCCATGTACAGAGATCCAGGTTGCTCCCTTGGACTGCTCCTGCCACAGTCCAAAGCAGTCTGTGCATGAGCATAGCTGCTATAGAGCACCTCCTCGTCTGTGCAATGCCCTACACCTTCACCCTTTGTCTCCCACCACAGGGGCTCCTGTGCTTCACATTGTAGATGTGGTTTAGGTGCAAAAGTTCACTTATTTCATCATCATTGTGTTTACCCAATGTTATTCACAGGACAGGGTAACCACCACTGTCCTGCTCAAATGCACTCAGGGAAAGTGAGGCTGCTCTTGCAGTGACCAGAGTGAACTTGGGCAGGTTTTTTTGGGCAGCCAACACGTTGTGCAACATGCTGGCCTCCTTCTCACCTCCAGCTTCATGTCATTGTGTGCAGGTAGCAAAGGGTTAATTGCAATGGACTTTGACTTGAGGTCTCTGCCTCATGCTCTGGATGAAGATTGGCAGAGAGCAGAACACTGTTGTGAGCATGAGCTGCTGGGAATTTCTCAGGTCTCCCCTGCATGAGGACGAGGTCTCGCTGCCCTCTCATGTTGCTGGTCATGTTATCACAATCATAAAACATTACTCTGTTCTCTGTTTTGTGGTTTTCCTGAGGTATTACAATGGAAATGATTAAATAGGGACTGAAGTGTATTTGTGGTTGCAAGTAGTTCCTGAGTCTCTTGATCCAACAGGTAGTGAAGGACCCTGAAGGAGCCTTAGCTCTTCCCACCAGCATGCACAAAACCCTCACTTGGCACATCTGTGGCTTATGTCCAGCATTTCTCAGTCAGAATTAACCCTCTGGAAGGTGTATGCAATAAGGATGGTGGGAAGTGTCACCTAAAATCTGCTGTTCTTTCATGTGATGTTCCCTGGGACAGCACTGTAACTGGGCTCCAGCTGCCTCTGCTCCTCAGTACCACTGGGGCTGGAGATCCTTGGTTCTCACTCATCCCAGACTTGTGGGGCTCACATTTTGTACCATGGCAAAACTCAACACACAAAACTGCTCCAGGAAAGATTGTCTTCTGTACTTCTGAGGCTTAAGGCAATAAGGACTACAGGCACCCCAGCTGTACCAGGAAACTCTCTAGAGCAACTACAGCAGCGTGACCAGAATTTTGTCACCCTCTCATGATTCACACATCTTTCTTCTCTCTTGGACCAGGCAGTCCTGTACCTCCCACCCTGTTTAATGAAGCTTGTATAGATGGTGGGGGAGCATGAGGAGCAAGGATTGCAGGTAGTGGTGACTTCTGCATCAGACCTGACCTCTGACTGGTGAAGGCAAAGCCCTTCATGCTGCTGAGGTGGAAGGCGAGATGAGGAG